AAAGGTCATAATGGTGCTGCCACCCTTCGAGTTTCCTCTTTCTCTTCCCCCCTTTCTCTTCTCTCTGTCTCTCGTTTCGCTCTTTGTCCCCGTTGTATTCTCCATTTTCGCGCATTCCTTTTACTTCGGAGACGCGCTGGAATATCTATCCTGCTGCGGATATTTACATGACAAACGCCGGGGGGACTGCGTCGAAAATTTCATCGCGCACGCACGATCCCGGCTGAGAAGCACGTCCGTTCTCCTCAGGGTCTCGCTCTCGGTATCCCGAAAATGACGACAGTCGCTTCGGGCCCGCCATTACTTTCCCGTCAGAATTGCTCCTTGATGAACGCATTTCACATACGTTTCGCTCGGTATTCCCGAGTATTTCCTCCGAAAACCGTCACAAGCAACCACGATTGGACGAGATAATCGTCGTCCGCGGAAAAGCGCGATATTACGGTATCCAAAATGGGGGGAGGGGGGTGTTTGTTCGCGGGCAAGCGAGTGAGATCTCCATGAGATAACTATTACGCCGGGAATGCACGGAGGGGGAGATGACTGTGAGAAACCGGCTGCGTTTCCTCGCCAACAAAAACGTCGATGAAACGCGGGTGCAGAAAACCGCTTTCAACGACAGACGTAGGTGGAGGGGGAAGAGAGAGTGGACAATGTTAGCTGCGTCATCTCCGTCGCGTGGGTGTTGCACCGGTATCGCTTTCCGCCGGCGGGGATAATCCGCTTATGCAGGTCCATCCTCTCTTCGTTTTCCTCATCCCCGCCAGGGTATTGTTGTCCAGTGTATTGTGAGAAAACAGCATTTTCGACGCTCGAGGTGACGACGAGAAGAGGACCCATCGTCATTGTCAACATTGTCATGATCGTCGCGAATGACGTACACCGGCCATGCTCGCCCCGTGGAGCCCGAGGATGCACCTGACTCTACCAACGCCAACGGGGTCGGATTGCGAGGTGTCGAGGAAATCGCTCCTACAAGATTCTTTCGTTTCCGGCAACCGCGAAAATACACTAATTGACAATAACGGAATTGCTCTTCGGAATCGTAGGGCGCTCCATATAGGACGAGAATTCTATGTGGATATCGCGATATTCCCTTCGGAAAGCCGCTGTAAGGAGAAACAAGTTTTTGATCGATTGAGAAGATGAGAACTCTCACTTTGCATTTTTTCTCTCGAATATTGTATATTAATTATTCGCATATCCTGTTTATATACATTATATCTGTACACAGTTTGCGCACACGTCGGCGTGTGACAAGAAAAATCCCGCAGCCTGATTTGATGGATCAATTCTTGTTGCTGTAAGGATCAGACCTCGATATCGTCGTTAGATATCCCGATGAAGGGTTGTCGGTTGGCGTGAGTACCCCTGCGCACAAGGGGCTCCGTAATCCCATGAATACATGATTCAGATGCAAACAGCCTCGCCACGCGTGCGCTTCGATTTAAACGGTCGCGATTATTTCACGGATTAGAACGCGGATATTTGCGCTATTTTTCACCGGTGTCGCCGAAGAGACGATCGTCGTGCGAGTAGCGCTATTTTCGTGCCAATCGCACCCTTTATATTTCGCGATGACTGTTATTCCGGGGCGAAAGCTTGATCGAGTGTAGGCCGAGCAAATCGCCGATGCAAATACAGATAGTACAAATCGCGAGATAGCCTCGTTTTTTTTTTACACGATAAACCAGTGCGATGAAAGAAACTGCCGTTGATGGATGAGACTCGATAGAAGTCGGATTATCGACTTTTGCAGGCCGTAAAAAATTTTGTCGTGCAGATATCGCATGCATCGATCACAACGGAACAATCGCGTACTGTCGGTGAGAAAAAATGTCACACGCGTTCGAAAGTTAAGAGAGAAATTTCCGTGATCGGAGAAAGAATCAAATATTGTATAATTAGGTAAGAATATTTCGTCAAGGGACAATCATTACTATTATTATTATCCTCATCATCATTAATCCGTCTTGCCTTGCAAAACTAACTTGTTATTTACAAATGCCGGCTTTTTATACTATGAAATAATTACATAGAGATGCCCATTAATGAATGTAGATCGAACTATTACGGTGTGCCATCAGATGCGTCTCCCTAATTTTATACAGGAAACGAAAAGTACAAAAAAAAAAGTACGGAGGAACAAATGCAACCTCCTATTTATTCCAGGCGGAGATCGAAAGGTAAAAGCGTGCTAACACGCAGCAAAATAACATGTATGTCCAGTAAAACGATAATAAAATTTATTATTCAATAATAGCAACGTGTAAAGTACTAGTAAAATACCGGAGAGTTGGAGAAACAATTGTTGATAAAAACGCCACTAACCGCACTATTGCACATTCGAAGCAAGGTTACATTCTCCCAAGTGAGCTTCGCTACTACCACTCGATTCACGATCGATCGACACGCAACGTATGTGAGCGCATAAGCGCTTAAAAGTTAAAAGTGCACTTGTATTCATGCAAACGCACGTACGAATTGCAGCGGTAATGCGGGAGGACAATAATACGCGGGAGCGTATTCAAGGGACGATACGCTTTCACTCTTATTTTTCCCCCCCTTTCTTTCTCGCTATCTTACAAAAATACAGAATTGGACGGAACCAACGAGTACTCTCGTCATTTTCTTCCTATTTTAAGGCAATTGGGCGGTCGAAGGTTTGAGCTTTCTTCTCTCTTCGCTACTCTGCGACGTTCGATGAATTACATATCGCGAAAATTTTTGCATCTTTTATCTTTTGTTATTCTCAGACGATGGAGGGTTCTAGGAAATAAAATATTTCTCGACGAAGGGAACACACACGAGAGTGATAAAGGACGAAAAACTTCATTCATTCGAGAAAGCGGAAAACAAACTTTTGCCGAATTTCGTTACTTCCTCTCGAGATTCATTTATTCCATTGGATTGGCATTTTCTTCATATTTTATTCGTTCAATATATCCTGTTAAATCAATTCTGAGGTTCATCAGCGTATTTGATATTTTGGTTTTTCTTTCTCTTTGCTCGGTAAATTTATGATGCATCTTCTTTTCCTAAAGTAAAGGCTCAAAATCAAATGCGGAGGTATGTGGTGACGGCACACGATGTAAAAAAAAGTACACCTGATATAGAAAATGAACGGGCGTTGTACGTTTTATTGCGTAATACTTTGAAACAACGTGCTTAAAAAAGTTGCGATCTCTCTCTCTCTCTCTCTCTCTCTCTCTTTTTATTCGTGCCACGCTCTCTTTTCTCCGAGGACAACTAACAGAAAAACAATGTCCACTCGCGGGGAGGACGATCGCACGATCACGAGTATTGCACTGTAACGACATCCTTGGCAGAAATTGAAATCGCCTCTCCATGTTACGCGCGCGCGCGCGCATAGAAGGGAAGGCATAACGAGTCGAGGCAATCGCACAGAAGACATTGCAAACTTATTGTAAATTCAAATTTACAATCGCACATTTTGGGATAAGATTAAATCAGATTACGTAATGCGACGAGAGTGTAGAAAAAAAGATGAGAACCATAGACGAAGAACACTGCAAATCACGGTTTACTTCGTATCGATGTGTATTCCATTTGGCAATTTAAAGGTTACACGTAATGAACTCACGATATGCCATTTTGATACATTAAATAATGCATTTAAACGAACAATTTTACCTGATAATTACAATCACGCTAAATGTAATGATTTTGGAAGTAAAGAAATTTGAAAATATCTCTCTCTCTCTCTCTTCAGAACGTTATGTGATTCGAGATGTTCTCCGCCGAGTGATTTTCAAAATTTATTGGCTATTAGCTATTAATATTTTCGCCACGCTTATCAGTAACACATTGAGAGCGTCGCCGCAACGGAAGAGATCCGAATCGTAACTTCAAATTGTTCTTCTATTTTGCATCTGATCGAAGCGCGACATGATCATCACGATACGATTTGAAAAGGCCGGATGAAAATGTGCAATGGTAATATAAAGGAACAGACGGGAATATCGCCGCCAATGCAAGGCGGCGAGTTACATCGGCTTTTACTTAGATGTAAACTTCAATCGTGGCGAATTCTCACATCCCACTTAGCATCGGAGGGGGCGGCGATCGTTCTGTTAAGACTCGAAATAAAATGACAGCATATAAAATGTATGGGGTGGATAAGAAAAAAACGAATTCCGTGTAAAAAAAAAGGGAATATCGCAAAATGTGCCGCTGTGAGCAATATTGATTTATTGCACTCGTAAAGATACGAACTGTAAAAAGAAGAAAAGTGAAGATAGCAGTGATCTTCAATGATTCCGCAACGCGGTGATGAAAGCAGTCTTTAATTTGACGTTATTTAATTCGGGTCTGACGCAATCACGAACGCCTTTCGGTCCGATCATCACGGCAAAACATGAAGAACGGGAAAAGGAAAGAGAGAAGAAGGAATCTCGCAAAATGATGTATTGTCTTCGGAATATACTCCCATTCTTCCGTATCTCTCGCATTCTGATGCGTGACTGAGACGCTTTCTTGACCCCGTTCGCGCGTTAATACTTCGAGTATAAAAATGTTGTAATATTCTTAAAAGTACACGCGGTTGCTCTTTACGTATCGACATTCTCGGCGACATCTGCCTCTATCAAACGCGCTGCTAGTAGTCCCGCGCAGAATCTCGGATAAAATGTTCGCGGTTGACAGGCGCTTTTCTGTAAAAAAATAATTTAAACGCGTATAAAAGGAATATCGTCGCGAAACGTCCCTGTCTGCTCCCCATTGCCGTCTCCCTCTTTTTAGGCGCGTACGAGTTTTTCTTTATATATATTATAGGCTCAACGGGTTAAATACCTACGTACTATCTGCAGGGTTCAAGTTACGCTTATGGTTACGAGTACTTTATTGTAAATGGACGCAAAATGCTTCTCTTGCAAAAATACAATCTCCCTCCCTCCCTCCCGCCCTCTCTCTCTCTCTCTCTCTCATACGCTAAGAAATATATAATTACATTATCTATATTCACGCATCTCGTTATTTTCATTTATCAAGTTAAGCGTCGCCTTCGTCGCGCTCACCGCCTCCATGATCGAGGCTGATATACATACGCGCGCACACATACGCACACACGCACACACACACATACTCAAATCGTTTCGTGATTCCCAACGATCTTGGCAAGAAAGGCGCAAAAGAGCACCGACCGCGAGCATCCGTGCAAATATTGAAACGTCAACTCGAAACTCGACTCGTGCTGTGCAATCAGAGACACGGATACATATTTTAACGGAGAAACTGACGATTAGCGACACTCTCCACAACGTAATCCCCCAAAGTGAGCACTTTGAGATCGATGTACTGACACATTGGAACCTGGCATTGAACTTCGCTTACGAGATTTACCGCTGTGTTATCTCTTTTTCCCATAAAGCTAAAGGGGCTTTTGGATTTTGATACTTGTATTAAAATTTGTAGCAAAAATACTTCCGACAAAGAGGCAAATTTCTCGCGCCTTTTCTGCGCGCCTGAAGTAATTCCGTCGAATTGCATTGATTCAAAAAAAAAAAAAAAAAAAAAAAAAAAAAAAAACCGATATTGTATTATTTCGATTTATTGTTTTAAAAATATGACACGACTAACAGAGGAATGTTCTGGATTGTAAAAGATAATTCAATTTATCCGACATGGGATCAAGTAGATCCACAAAAGAAGCCTTGAAGTACATTCGAAAGCTCGAAAATTTCCAAAAGGGTCGCTCTTCGATCTCGATGTCTCGACACAGCATTAAGCGCATTCAGCAACATTTTTTTTTTACGCTTTTCGCTTTATCCCTCTCTTTCTCTCTCTCGTCCATCCGCGAATTTCTCCCAAAACGCGAATCTTCTTGCCTTTGTTCATCCTTCAAACTACGGAATTCTTCTTTCTACTTCTTTTTGTCTCCTTTCGTCAACGCGACTCGTTTGTCCCGACGACGGTGTATCGAACATTTCGCAATTTTGTTCGCTTTCTCCGATGATCGGTGACGGCGGAAGAAGAGAGCAGCAGTAGGAACGCGTTTTCACGTTTTTTTCAACGCACGGCGAAAACCAGTCGCGATTTCGTCGCTCGAGTTCGACAGGGGAGTTCGATCTTTCCGCTGTTCCTCGTCCGTTCACTGACAGTGGTCTCGAGTTCACGTGGGTTTCACCGACGGCTCCGGTCACTCGAGACCCCTGATGAGGACCGCCAGATCGCGGAACGAGGCACCGAGTTTGCCGGGAGTCGTCGACTGTTTCTTCAGCAGGATCGCCCGTATCGCTATGAGCTTCTCGTAGCAAGAGAGGCACTTGTGATACCTGAGGCAACGAACGAAGAAACCAAAAGATTACGAACCAGTGGCCGACGTCGAATCGTTCCGACGCGGTTTCGAGCAGGACACTCGAGTTTCTGCTGATAATTTGAGCGAATCTATTTGAAAAGAACCTTCGATCGCAGAAATAAATGACACCGTTTCGAGGAAGCTTTTAATAATCAGACACTCACCGTTCCTCTCGCGATACGTCGACGCCGATCGTGTGAAGAGGCGCTTCCACGTTGGATTTTATCACCGGGGCGAAGTTACGAAGGATAAGTCTCAGCGCCGAGCAAGCTACCGTTATGTACCTGAAACGAAAATCCGATTTCGCCAGGATAAATAATTCGGTCTTACAAACGTATGTAAAATTACTTTTCTGTTTATTAAAAAAAAAACTTTTATTTATATTTTTTAAGTCTCGGAAAAGACCGTATTCCCTCAATTTTTCGCGAATTTCTCCGACTCCCGTCCCAAGGGTAAAAAAATTCGTTTAGAAAAATTTACGTATGTTCAATTAAAACTTGCCACATTTATTTTTTTCATATAGAAGATAAGAAATCGAGAAAATCTGTGGAAAAATGGGAAAAAAACGAGTTCTTTTCCCGAAACTTTAGAACTATGTTATCCTACTTATCTAGAAATCTATAAATGTGGGATGAGTGTTAGGAGGCACTGAATGAGAACAGTCTCGCGACACCCACCGGGTTTCGTCCGGTCACGCCCGGCCCGTTGTAAAACGGCCGTTATTAGGCCGTAACGACGCCAATAAATAATGAAAGGACACGAAAGGCTTGCCTGCGCGATTCACCATGCTTGCTTTCGGACGGGCGATAAAGGGTTCGCGCGCCCGTGCTCCCGTTGAAATCAGCGAAACGAATCATACGCGGTCTCATGAATGCACCACGCGATCGGGATTCCACGTGGCTTGTGACAAAGTAGGAAACATGATCGAGCTGCAACCGACAAAAATAAAAGCCGAAACTATTTTTCCGCGCGAAAGTAATAATAATAATTATTAACAATCTCTCGCGAAGGTAACGTAATAATAATTAAAATATATTTCCGAGAATTGAAATTGTTCAATCATATTTTGATAAAAAATAAGTATATTAATTGTTACAAATAATATCTATATTAATTCGCGTTCAATGCTTTGTTCCACGTCGCAGAGTTGATATTTCTCCGAAACAATGAACATTTGCAAGGATGAAAGTAGACGAGGGACGGGGTTGCGATCGCGAAATTGGAAAACGATCGGGCGGGTTGAACCCTCCCTCGTGACACGGACATTCACTGGCGAGATCTCTTTTTTTTTCTCACGCGGCACCACAACGGGTGCAGGACGAAAGCCCGTGACGGATCGGCCGTGAAAACCCGGTGAGCGTCAACTATATGCATACTGCATAATGTCGCTCGAGATGTGTATATTTGCCCGTCACAATAAGCGCAACGAGCGAATCGAGTAGTCGCATAAATACGTAAATACGCAGTTGCCGCGTCTGTTAGAACATCAGGTTAATTAAGAGAATCTCATCAAACTGGATGTCTTTTTAAGAGACAGATTTGAAAATCGACATGAAAATTGTGTGTCCGTCTCTTTGCCGCTGTGTGAGATAATTAAGAGGATTACGAGACGTCTGAAGAAAGACCGTACAAATTGCTACAGAAAACAACGATAGGCTCCGACAAAAAATCGCCTTCCGACGGCATCCTTATTACGAGTGACTGCGGGCGACAGCTGCTCAGCGGCGGGTAACCAATTTATATTCACTTTTACGGTATTTAAGCAAGCACGGAGTGCGACTACTATTAATCGATGTACAAATTACTAATATAAGGAGCTGAATTGATCTCAAATAATTTGAATTATGCACTAAAGATGAAATCTTAAAATTCAATAATAAAAAAAAATAAGTGAAATAATATCGATGAATTCTCAGTCGAAAGGAAACGAACTCGATAAGTTAGTTAAACGTAAATTAACGTTAATTGCGACTTTTCTCCGCAAATCATTTGTTCGCCAAAAAGTAGACCAGAATTTTCGTCGTTATTTCGACTCTTTTTTAGTCGGATATTACATGCTAATTCTTATTATATTTATGTAACTTTCCGATGGCGGAGTAAATGCCAATCAAAGGAAACGACGGTAATTTTTGTGAGGTAACACGCGAAATAGTGGCAGCCGAGGGTGAGTAATGACAGTCTGCGATGAAACGTAGGAAGGAAACAGTCGTTTCTCGTCACGGAGCTCAAGCAACAGCTTGGAACTGAGGGCGGTCGGTTAATCACCCACTTTCAAACGGGAACATAAAAGACAAGTTCTCTCCCCTCGGATTTATAGCCGAGGAAGCGGTGCGTATCTGACGAGGAAACCGTTTAAATTTGCACGGTGCGCGATACGCGTGTGTGCCAGTGGAATATATATGGAAACCTCCCGACCTTTTTTCTCGCATTTTTCGCGCGATTCTTAAATCGTCCAAATTTGAAATTTAAGGCTCGGCTGTTACCGGCAGTCGTGTTGGTTATATACGACGTCAGAGGGAAGAAATATGACATGCGGTAAATTTCTTATGAAATATAGTACGCGTGTATACTCAGGCAGCCTTGACAGCTAAGAATGGCTGTTACTTCAGGAATTATTTTTCTTACGTGACATATCGGAGACGTCTCGGTTTCCCGCACATTTTACAAATTTTAAGGTTACGAAACTATCATGTTTTTCAGAGAAATCTCAAAAATAAAACTATATATGTTGCAAAAAATTAACTGGGTCATATTTCCTCGCCTCTGACATTGTAAAACTAATATGGCTGCCAGAAATAACCGAGCCTTAAAAGTACGAACTTTCTTACACGTTCTACACAGCTGTTTAAATTTGAAGCTTCGTAAATATTGAAAATTTTAGACCCTTCTCAAATTTGTTTTCTCCTTTTTTTTTGAGATATTTGTAACGTCCTCGAGCGCACAATTGCGCATCCCATTCTCGACAGATTCGCGAGTTTGACAGCGAAGATGACACACGGCCGTCCTGTACGGTCGGCACTTGAGTGCCTTCAATTGAAATCCGACGAACAATACTACCGCTCGTGCGCGGACAGCAAGCTGTCGCATTTGCATCTGCCGCTATCTCCCCATTGTCTCGGCTAATTTCGCGAACCGCCCCACTCGCTCGGATTTCCCCACTATGCTAAATTAGCCATTCCCATACTGCAACCCTAGACCTCGCGAACGAACGTTTCGAAAACGAGGGTTCCTCCATTTTCCGATGCAATACGCGTCGGCGAGTAACGATTATTTTAGTATGTAAAACAGCGGACGAGTACGAAAATGGAGAACGATTTACTCTCCAAATATTTTCTAGTGAAATCTCACTCGAAAAGAAGAATGTCCAAAAATAGAATTATTATTTTATTTGAAACGAATCTGATATATTCCTCACGGAAACATATTCCAATCGTTTGAAACATTCGCAATCAAAATACATTCCAAGCTTCGCCACTTTCCGAGTGAAATGCCACTCGAAGAAACTCAGCGATACTCACATTTCGTATTTACTTTGGAGGAGATCGCTGACAGGGCCGAGCAAAGAATTGCACATATCCAAGTTCCACATTGTTCTGCGAACAAAGATACAATATTAATTGGGATCCAAGTGATAGATCGGGAGAGCCACGTACGGTTTCAACGTGAGGATACCCAGAAGATCCACGATTACCGCCAGATCGTTCATCGCCACTGCAGAGTCCACCGCGGCCTGAAATCGATAACCCGCTTTGTAGTTTCCGCTGCATATTGCTCTTCGCGCGGATGACTACCTTGAGATCTTTATTGTGCCAGAGGGAGTATATGATCTGTAAGGAGCGATGCCGGCTTTTAACTACCGCCATCATCGACTCGTGGCTGCGCATCATGCTGTTCAACACCTCGGCCTCCGACATTTCCGTCAGCACGCCCATCTGCGGGTACCCCAGCGCCGTGGAACCGGTGTGCTGTAAAACAGACCAAATTGCCTATTTGAGAATTTGGCTCAGAGAATGAAATTTCCACACAAACAAAGCAACGATTTGAAAGGCAAACGGATATCGAGGGACTCTCACTGGCAAAAAATTCTCAACGTCCAATCCGTAGGGCTTGTCGGCGCTCATCGGCACGAGCTCCTCCTTCTCCGTGTCCTCCACCACGCTGTTTCTTATCTGCGAGACGCGTACGTCGAGCTTGGGATTCGGCGGGACTTGCGCTTTGTTCGGCTTTCTCGTGGACGACGACGCGGTGGTGGATGGGTTGCGTGCCGACAACGCGGTTGAGGTAGCGAAGTTTCTGTTGAGCGACGTAGACCTAGACTGCGCGGTATTCGGCCTGTTCAGCGCCGGGTCGGATGGACTGTGCCTTATATTATTAATTCTGCCAAAAAAGAATCACATTTCATATATATGAATTATAAATATATAGAATTATATTCTCTACATTTAAATATGTCTTGTTCGGTCAGCAAATTTCCTTCGTCCTAGTATTAATATTGTACACCGGAGAGGCACTCACTGTACAGGATAATCGCTCTCGTATCCCTGCTCGCCGTCCCTGCTGTACTGCCTCTTCAGATAATGCTTCGGCGAATCCGGACTAGGTACTCTATTCTTCAGTTTACCGTCGTCCATCACGGGAATGACGGCGGCCATCGGCGCGACCCGCGGCGTCAGGGTCGAGTTCGACCTCTGCGGCCCCAACGGTACCGTGTTATCGTTCGTCTTTCTGCTGCCGGGGAACGGAGTGATGTTCTGCCTCAACGGCGGTATGGAGGCCAAATTCTTGGACGGCCTGTTCAGGCCGTTGTTCGCCTGCAGGTTCGCTCTGATCTGGCTGGTCGAGGTGATGGAGTTCCGGTGAACCGGAGGCGAGGACTTGATCGGCTGGATGCGCACGGGTTTCGTTAACGATAACGTGGGCGCAGGCGGGGGCGAAGGTGATTGCATCGGCGGCACTTGATCGATCGTGTTCGACATTGAGGTAGAGAGATTTTGCAGTATCTGCGGCTGCGCCGGATCTAAAAGACAAATCGAACAGACGTGTGACACTTGTTCGGCGGACTCTTCCTTGTGAAACACATCTTTTCGTTCGAGAGAGATAGAGGGAGCGAGAGAGACATTTACAGATAGAGTTTGTGCGTCACGGATGGCTTTAATTCCAAGCTGTCCGGACGGGACACTGTACAAGATTAACGTTATCGCGCACAAAACTCACCTACGTCGCGAGGCTCCTCGTAAGCCTCAGGTTCGGGGGGTGGAGTGCGAGACACTGAAACATATCACATGCGCGGCATGCTCATTCACAACACTCACGCAACATTCACGGTTTAGATATGCGTGTACGACACAGAGTTTGTCACAGGGTGATCGCGGAAGATTAGGACGAAAGCGGAATCTCTTCTCGGCCGCAGACAGCAGAATGTCACTCATTTAGGATGAGTATTACTTACACGCCCTGCTCGGCTGGAAAATGTCTCTGTAATCGGTTACGTTGGGAATATCCGCGTAAGTGACCTCGTCTTCCGGATCTGTGCCGGATTTGTCCGCCTCTTCTATCGTCCGTACGTCCAATCTGTAAGTGTGATTGAACAGTTTTACATTTTTAATTAAGATTTCCGATGGCCATGTCGACGTAAAGAATCTGAATGATTTCTCTGACACGTCAAAATCAATTGCAAATTATTTTATGACTGTTTGAACAAAATATATATATATATATATTGATAAAATATACCAGATTCTGTTTTCAATTTAATAATTACCAGATAATTGTCACTTCAGATCGAATCTTAAAAGAAAGAAGCTCACGTGTGTTTCTTCAATGCGAGCGGTCGTTCCCTGGAAAAGCTTTTCCTCAGGGAATTCCCGTGACTGAAAGGCGAACCCACGGTGGATACTCCACCTAGTGGCGCAATTTTCTTCAAGTCACACACGTACAGTATGACATTCGCAGTGTGGAAACTCGCACCGATCTGGGAAACGATCACGCACACATGTATTAAATTTCACAAAGCAATGAGAAATACTAACTCTTGCGTGACACGAGGCTTGTTTTACCAATTGATTCTGAGCCACAGCTATGTCCTGAACCTTCCCCCAACCCGTGGGTATAGTGTCTAAGGTCCTCCCCGGTTCCCAACCGTAAACTTTTAAAACGTCGTGACTACCGGCGAACAGACATTCTCCGCCTTGACTAAAATACAGGCACCTAAAATGGTAAAATAAAAAATTATGCGAAATCGAGCGGTGCGATTATTGTAAGATAATTATTACGATCTCAGAGACTTATTACCCACCGAATGGCAGAAGAATGAGTTTGTTCTGTAGAAGATACGAGCTGAAACGACTCTAAGTCCCAGAAGTGGACTGTTCTATCCACGCTACCGCTAGCTAATAGGAATTCGTGCGGATGAAACTCAACGGTGGTCGCTGACCCTCTGTGTTCTGAAAATTCCCTTAGTTGTCTACCGGCCTTTAGGTCCCACAGCTAATTTAAAAGTAACACAAACATCAATGTCTCTCTCCCTCCCTTTTGCATGTAAAGAAAGACTTGCAAAGAAAGGAAAGGATACAAAAGATAATGGACACTTAATAACAGAAAAAATAACGGAAATTTAATCTCGGTTTTAAAGAAAATTAGAGAAGTGTCTCCGACTCACCTTGACCATTCCTTCCTCCCCAGCACTGGCGATCCATTGCCCATCAGGACTGAACTTTAGGCTGTTGACGGTTCTGTTGTGACCCTTATACGTGAAAATGCAACCTTTCCGTCGAATGTCCCACAACTTGATCGCCGTGTCCAAACTACCGGATGCCAATAACTCCCCATAAGGATGAAAGTCCATGCAACGTATTCCAGACTTGTGTCCTGTAAGTGTGCGCGCCAATTTGGCATGTTCCAGATCCCAGATCTTCAGCGCACCTGTCTGTGAACCAGCACATACCAGGTCCTCCGTTTGGCCAAAGCGTACACATTCTATCGGGGTTGTATGGCCACTTAAGCTCTGAAAAGATATTTTCAATTTAAGTATTGTCACATCATAATGCTCGCATATTTACGTTAATGTTGAAATTATAACTGCTAGCTCAGAATTCAAATTCAGAACAAGACATCACTGATTACCATAATACAATTCTGCTTTCCAACGGCCCATAAGTTGACTTTTTTATCATCACCACCAGTTACTAAAACACGTCCAGACTTGTGGCCTAATGCCAAGCAATTGACATTCGGTGTATGGGCAACGAATTCCTCTGAAAAACAAAAGCCATAAATATAATTGGCAGGAGAAATATAAACATAATTGGGACAGCTTGTAAACAAAGACTGTTTATTTGTATCTATGAGCAAGAAATTGGGGAAAAATACACTTCTGTACGACGCAATATAAATTCGCGCAGGTTATTAACGAACCTACATAATTTTCGTCAGGACGATATCTTTAAGAAGGCAAATTCTACATATATATTTGTCGAGAGAAATCTTATTTATATAAAGGAAATATTTACTGTACTTGTACAGCATCGGAAATAGGATAATTCTCGGTTCGTAAGAGCTATACAAATCCGACGACAACTCGCGTCATGCGACCTGTCATCCTCGCCGAATCCTTCAGACAGCTGTAACTATAATAGGAAGAAAGCACGAGATAGCGGTCGGGAGTGTGTGGGCATCGTACAAACAGACTCTGTTTATCGCGAGCGAGAGACAAGGAAACGTTATCGAGAAGTCGTCGTATTCTCGCGGAAGGTGGGGGAACGTAGTACGCGGGCTCCGTCAACATCCTGAAAGGGATCACTGATCTTACGGAGCTTCCAAGATCTCTTCGCGGAAGAGGCCATGTTCCTGCGTGCACGGACTTATTTGGCAGCGGCGACGACAGGTCGGGATCTCGTTCGGCGCACGTATGATCTCGTCTCGCTGCCGCCGCGCGAACGCAACATGTTTGCCGCTTCCTTCACCTAGTTTTTTCCTCGTCCACTTGACAGAACCGCCTACCGCGATCTAGGCACCGCGACGCGTGACGTCGCGTCGCGTCGCCCTGCCGTCCCCTAATGAAGGTAAAAAAGAAGAAAACTGCCAAAACGAGACGAGAAATTCGAGATGGTCAATGAGTCGATCTTCTTTGATCGATCATTTTCTCGATACTTTTTAAGGGATCGATTGTGCGGGACCTCCCAACGTGTAGTGAAAATTACCAAATTCAGCGAATTCACTAGATATTGATCGATGAAATAATAAATATTTTCATAAATTCCTTCATTTTTGTAATTTTTCATTACGTTTTCAGGTATACGATCGACTCCCTGATAAAGCCACTTGCCCCTCTCTATCTGTAAGTCGTCGATTATTAGCAAATAAAAAAAGTCCGGCCGATCTGTTGTTGAATCACAAGTTGGACTTTTTGTCGAAAATGGCGGCTCGTAGCGGAGACTTTTGAACTAAGTTTGGCTGGTACAGGTTACGCTCGACTGTGATCGAGGCGCTTTGTAAGGGATAGTTTACAGAATTTCTATGTAAATGATAGGAAAAATCAAATCGCAAACTAATAACTCTTGTAATAACACTCTTTTTTTAGATTTAAGTAGGAACGGCGGATCCTATTGTTCCACGTTTCAAGATATATTTTGATTCGTGCTAAGTTAATATATTTGTCAAAATGACATTGGGATTTTGTACTCGTACTGGATTTCTAATTGCAAAGCCAAGTTACAAAATTTCTTTACCGAGGATTCTCGGAAGGGACAATGTGACATATGTGCAAGGACAATCTCCTCGACCCCGTATACGGGAATATTTTTACTACATCGATCACCAAGGCATGGTATTTGTTTGTTTAACTATTTACTTGATGGCTGAGTTATATTCTTACCTGAGTTAACTGAGTAATATTTTACAAGTAATCTCATAATACATATACCTTCTCCTTTCCACTTGTGTATTTTATCTGCAGTTGTTTCTCGATGATGTCCGTATAAGAAACTTCACTTCCTGCTTCAAAGGTGAACAATACTGTTTACATTATTTAAAAACACTCTGTTATTGATGTATTCATCGCAAATTGTAACAGACAAAAAGTTCTTGGCATTCTTCTTCAAGCACCTGAAGAAAAATAACACTGGTCGATACATGAGTGACTTCCCGTTTCTGTCAATCTGTGGTGTAGAGAGAAACTTTGTAAGATGCGACGACCTACCACTAGTTTTCACAAAAGTGATTCGGAAACAGAACGCAGAAACTGGCACCGAAGAAGACTGGTTCAGTTATGCGCATGCAGATGATTTATTGATGGTAATCACATGGAATTTGCATCAAGCTATAATGTAAAAGTTACAAATTTCTATTAAATTCGCGAATTCTTCGCAGGTACGATTCGAACCTCAAAAATTGTTTATGAACACCAGCACAGGGAGAGTATATCATCCCGCTCCAGAAAAGGCAGCAGGCATCGGACTCGTGAGGTCTAAACTGGCCATCGAATTCAGTGTCTCCTTTGATTTCGATGATGGCGAGGCGAATGCACCGACACATTTTACATGGAAAAATAAGCGATACGAGCTTGACACGGAATGGTACAGAGATAAACTGATGCACGGAGTTGGACAAAAGTAACAATGATTTTATCTGTAATTCAAATAATGTACATTATGTAAAAAGGATTGTATTTTGGAAATAACACGGATATACAAGAGTCGACCGCTATAATCAAAATCCTGATATAATCTGCAAAGAGAATTATAAACTTTTTTGTTGAAAAAAAGTTATGGCCTTTTCAAGTCGCAACAGATTTCTCGGTCACCCTGTCTTTTCTCTATGTATCGCGTCCCATTAGGATATGGACGAAATATCATAGACTCTGGCTGTGGAATCATCGCTGACTGTCAGTAACCTTTGTTCATTCCTGAAAAACACACCGATGAATATCAAGTAAATTGAATGTGAGAATCTGTCACATTCTGCATTATTTTAATTGATATCGCATAACAAATATAATCGTTAAAGTGACTTACTGTGATATGTGTAAATCTAATATTGCTTTTTTGTGTCCCTTGTATATCTGGAGACACTTGCCCGTTTTTGCGTCGATACATCTTGTCACACCATCCAATCCAGCCACGAATAATATCGATGTGTTGCCTTTCCACCGTACTTTAGTAAGAGTGTCCATTATTTGAAGATCTATCTTATGCCTGAGAACCTGGAGAGAAGATCCAGTCTTTGATACATCTCGTCTATATCTTCGCTATAGATGCTGAAAACGATACCTGTTTGGAAATGTCCCATACAAAGAGTTCCCCGTTAACGGTTGCAGTCGCAGCGAGAGGAATCGCAGGATCCTTACAGAAAGATACCGTCTCTGCCCAATTTTCTTTATGAGACTCACTTTGGCCTTCCTGCTGATCGTCCGCATTGTCATCTTCTTTTGAAGGCATTTCGGATTGAAGATCTTGGAGTACACAAATTATCTGAAAAAGATTCGTTAAGATCATCTCAAGTTGCAGATCGAACATTTCTTACCTTGCCATTGTGCGCTGTACTTAGTATAGTCTTGCCGTCTGTCGACACCGAAATGAATAATTTATTATTCATATGACAATCGATGTCAGTGACAAGACTACTATGACCCTGATTATTGGGTATGGTGGCCATCACGGTGCCTTCTTTTAAGTCAATTATACGTATCGTGCCATCCCTGCATCCCACCACGATAGACTTTCCTGCAACATGCTAATTTGAAGCTTCTAACTCTCAACTGAAGGTATTTCAGTACATACCATCTGGAAAAATAGCACCCGACTCCACGATAGTACCGTTCCCGTGAAAAATTTTGCATTGACCTTTTGGTAGCTTCCACATGTAAATCTCTCCGTTTTCAGAGGCCGCTAATAAGATGTTGGCAGAATGATGCCACTTCATCCACTGGGCAGCAAGAGAACAATCATTGACAACACAATTATCACCACTGATTATATACTTTCTTACAAAGTAAGGAACACTCACGTGTAACTCATCTATGTAGAACTGCGAGCAACAAACATTCTTAGACCAGACTTGTATCAAACCTTTCATGTCTCCGGTGGCCAAGTAGTTATCATCATGATTAAATTCTGCGAATATAACACTGTCCGTGTGACCGGTACATTTCAGAACGATGTTTCCTGTAGTGGTATCCCAAATATAAGCTAGATCTTCCTTGCTTCCTGTCACAGCCAGCTCACCGTTTTGGCTCAGGCAGCCGCAGAACACTGATGAAGCTGATGAGCAAACATTATTTCGGCAATATTCGTCCGTGCTGATAGATTTCATTTCTGAATTCAGGAATAGTTTCTTACCATGCGAATGACCTCTGAAGATGCACATGGCCTTTTGCGAAGTTTCGTCTTCGACTGAATTCACGGAATCTATCGATTCCACCGAGTCATTATCACTCTCCATATCCAAATCGACAACTTCTTCCAAGTCTTCGTCCGAGAGGTCAGGAATCTCTTCAATGTCCATCTCAAGTGAAGATGATGGATACTTATCTCTCATGTGGAATTAGGTTAGGTTCGAACTTTTTATATTCGTTATTCTCTCAATCCTTAATACTCTTGATTGATATTCGACAAGATTTCGAATAAAGAAAATTGAAGATTACGTTACAGTTACGGTGAATTCTTCACCGCAACGTAGCGCCCTCCTTCGCAATGCAGTCATTTTAGACGATGCAGCTGTAAAGAAGCGTGTCTCTACAAGAAAAGCTGCGCGCGATCGCCACCTTGGAGACTTAAGAACCCTGCTATTGGACGCGAATTTGGTATGAAGATAACTGGTGTAGCACGGACACGAACCGGATTGACCGGCAGTGGCTGTCACGGAGTTCATTATCGCGTCAAGTGGGCGCGGATGACGTTGGCAAGAAATGGTCGGTAGCGGTGTATCACACACACGCACCGGCGTGGTCGCTCTCTCGTCTCCGGATGCATTCGTAATGTTTCGTGCTCGTTTGCTGGGTCGCTCGGTGCTCCCGCTCGTGGCCGAAAATGACACATCGCGACGCGCGGGCGACGCGCGATAACCACGCACGCATCGAGCGGAGCGTCGCGGAGAAGTTGGGTGAGCGCGAGAATAAGTGATCGAGGAGGATTGCGTGTTCTTCGGCCGGGCGAGCTGATCGACGTGCCGGCGGACAATGGCAATCTCGAGCTGGGTGATGTGGGGTAGAAGTCTGCGAACCGGCCGATCTCACAGAAGTGCGTGGTGACGATACGGTTCTTCATTGAAATTCGCACGCGATGGTCTCGCGCAGTTTGCGTTTCTCTCCTCGCCTCTTTCTGATTACAGGCCGCCAGGACGCCGAAGACAACTGCGTGCAGCTCGACTTGTCTAGAGGTTAGTAACCTAACCTACCAACCACGGTGAGAGAGATCGTTGCCCCCCTTTGATCGGTACCGCTGCGCCGATGACGTTTATAGTCTTCCGCCTTCATCTAGCAAATCGTTTTTTCGCCACGTGTGTTATTTCGCCGGTCTGTCACGCCTTCCTCTATGTATGTTTTTAAGGGTGTAAAATACGCGTGTATCAAATTCAACTGCTTCTTCCGATTCTTATTTACCAATGAACACAGTCGGGTGAAATTGTTTTGTCAGGACTAAAGGAGAACGTGAAGGAGGTCTTGAGCAATCTCTGCCAGCGTCACAACGTTCCGAGCGTAAAGAAGTTAGCTTACCTGAACGCGATCGTGAAGTTGATCAGCGAAGCCGCCGACTCTCAAGATTATGGATACTCCGCGGAGGATCTGTTCTGCTGGTGAGTGTGGTCGGTTCGATCGTCGGTTCGATCGTCGCGATTCATCGGCGGCTTTTCCTCGCAGCCTACGCGTCGCGCTGGTGCACGAGGCGACGCAGGTGCGCGCCGCGGCGTTACGCGCGGTGCGCTACATGCTGAAGAAGGAGCAGGACGTAATCGCGATCAACAGGCTGCAGTACCCGTACTTCTTGGCGCGCAGCATGGACGTGAACCTGCGCAACGAGATGGAGAGGATGCAAGCGCTCCGACTGGTCAGGCGGATCCTCGCGTTGGCCCCGAAGCACTTCAGCCCGAACCTCGCGAGGTCTCTCGTCAGTCTGACGAACAGCGGCATAGAGGAGCGGGACCGAGCCTTCCGGGCGTTCCTGGCGACCCTCTGCGAGCTGGGCGTGCTCAACTCGAGCCTGCTGATAAGCTGCGGCGGCGTCGGCGCCCTGGCCAGGGCCGCGATGACCGGGCAGAGCGCCGTCGTCGTCGAGTCCATCGTCGGGGTGTTGCTGAGGCTGCTGAACAACCCGGAGACGCGCGGCAGCGTCTCCCTGCTGTGCTTCGCCGCGCCCTACTGCGAGCTGCACTCCTCCAGCGTGGAGAGAACGAAGGAGGAGCGGGAGCAGAGATTCGCCGCGAGCAAACTGGCGCTGCTGAGCATCCTCCGCTCGTACCCGGGCGTGATCCACTTCTGCCGGCCGGACAACGACTCCGGGCTGAAGGCGATCGCCGACATCCTGTACGTGGAGCAGCTGGAGGTGCGGGGCGCCGTGCTGGAGTTGCTGTACGAGCTGTTGGACCTGCCGCTGCCGACGTGGACCGACGAGCCGGACGTCGCGCTGGCCGCGGTGGACCCCGGCCGCGCCCGGGACTCGTGGAAGCTCTCCGAGGGCTTCGTCGCCGCCGAGGGCAAGTTCGTCCTGCCCTCCCTGTCGTCGCACTGCCCGAACATCACCGAGATCCACCTGGCGCTGCTGGTCTACGTCCTGCTGGAGTGCGGCCTGCACCGCGCCCTCGCGGAGACGATCGTCTCCAGCGACACGTTCATCTCGGTGCGCGCGGCGGTGCTACTGGGCGCGCTGCTGCATCTCGCCCACTCCCTCCTGCCGTCCGAGGTCTGCGACCTGACGCCGCCGCTGCCGAACCTGCTGGAGCACGCGAGCGCCGGCAGGCACCAGGCGCTCGCCGCGGTGACGATCCTCGAGCGGATGCACGCGATGATGCGACGCCGGCCGGGTCCGGCGAGCCTCTTCCTCGACCGTATCCTCCAGGGCGGCGCCTGGCTGAGGCCGACCCTGCCGAGGCGGCAGCGGCCGTCCGGCCGGCACTGGCTGCGAATCGGCCGGGAGTCGCCGATCACGCCGCTGCTGAAGGACGCCCAGGTCCTCGTCTCGAAGGACGCGCTCGCGTGGAACTGGCCGATGATACGCGCGATCCTGCGCTCGCGCGAGGACGCGAGCCGCATCATCCACGACTCGGACCACCGGCTGTTCATGAAGCGGCTGGTGCGCTACTTCAAGCCCTCGTGGAACGGCTACAGCAGGATCGAGCTCGGGACGAGCGCGACGTTGGCGCGCGAGGCCACCCTGGCCGGCTGCGACCTGCTCAACTGCCTGTTGGAGCTGCACGAGGAGGGGGCGCGGCTGCTGAACGAGCTGATCGGCGACGTGGCCGAGCAGATCGCGAGGATCCGCGCGGCCGAGTCCGCCCACGACTGCCTCTTCTCGCCGCGGCACATGTCCACCACCTGTTGCCAGAAGTACTTCCTCTTCCTCGGCCAGCTCAGCCACTCGGCCAAGGGCACGGTGGTGCTGAAGAGCTTCAACCTCCTGGAGAAGCTGCAGGAGCTCGCGTTGCTCACCAATCACGACTGCTACGTCAAGCTGATCGTCTCCAGCCTGGACTACTCGCGGGAGGGCCCGAACCGGAAGGTCCTCGGCAGGATCATCACCGAGGCGACGTTGGCCAGCACGCGGCTCTACGCCGCGCAGTTCCTCCGGCTGATACTGCGCGCCCGCATGACGGACGCCGTGCGCTGGGCGATGTCCTTGCTCGCCGAACGGCTCTCGGACGCCTCGACCGCGGTCGCGTTCACGGCACTGGACGCCCTCCACGAGGCCTGCGAGGAGAGCGAGTACCTGGAGGCGATGTTGCAGCAGGCCGGAGACTGGGACAAGTGGCTGCGGCACCTCGGCGACAAGGGTTACCTGCTGAAGATCCGCTTTTACTCGCTGCAGCAGGGCTTCGCCAGCCTGCCGGCGGAGGAGCTGGAACGCTGGATCGGCCCCGGCAGCTTCGCCGAGCGCTACGTCGGCCTGGTGGAGAGCGAGATACACGACGCGCTGACGCGCCGGCAGCGCGACGAGACCGGCAGCTACCAGAGGAGGATAAGCAGCCTGCCGATGGTGCCGCGCGACGTCTTCGCGCCGCCCCATCTGATCGGCCAGCTGGCCCAGCACGAGCCCGGTATGCAGCTGCTGCTGCGCCGCAACGTCATACAGCGTTTCGCACGGGTGCTCCAGCGATTCAAGCTTGAGTTCGGCGGTGGCAGGCGTCCGGCCACGACGACCGCCGCCGCCGCCGCCGCCGAGGAGAGCAGCCTCGCGGCGACGGACGCGTCCAGCGGCGCGGACGATGCCGCGGAGTTCAGCAGCCGCCTCGAGACGATCCCCGATTCCGAGATGGTCAAGACCAGCGTGGACGACTCCCGGCACACCACACCGGAGCGCAGTTGGACGATCGAGGCGCCGAGAGACGAGCAGCAGCAGCACGTCGGCCCCAACGGCGGCATCCTCAAGGTCAAGTCCGCTCTGTGGGCGCTCGGCCACGCCGGCACGTCCGCCGCCGGCGTCGAGCATCTCGTCCACCTGGGCGTCGTCGAGATGATCACCTCCATGGCGGAGACCTGTCCGTATTACTCGGTGCGCGCCACCGCGATGTACGCCCTCAGCCTGATCGGCACCACCCGNCCGCCGGCGTCGAGCATCTCGTCCACCTGGGCGTCGTCGAGATGATCACCTCCATGGCGGAGACCTGTCCGTATTACTCGGTGCGCGCCACCGCGATGTACGCCCTCAGCCTGATCGGCACCACCCGCGCCGGCGCCGACGCATTGGCCAACTTCGACTGGCCGTGCGTGAGGCATCGCCGGGGGGACAACTGGCCGGTCGTGCCGCCCGCCACGAGGTACCCGAGCCCGGTGCCGGTGCAGCGACATCACAGGAGCCTCAGTGACGGCAAGCCGGAGCTGCCCGAGCCGATCGCGCGCCGCACCAGGAACCGATCCGAGAGCGCGGCCACCGACCTCGAGGCGCGCCGTTACGTTCTTCCGTGAGTTTCGATCGCCGCGCGAGCTTACCTGTTCATCCGTTCGTGTAATTTGTCCTTCCTTCCAGAGAGAGAGGCGAAACCCCGAGTCCCGTCTCGAGTATACAAAGATTAAGCCAACAAGACGCTGAAGGGTACGCGCGACTGCGTAGTTTACAACGTCACCGCAGGCCGAGTTACTCCCAAAGTAGTTTAGAGGTACTTCTAGTACGGGACTCCGAGTTCGTTACTTAGCGTTCATACAACCCTCCTTTGCAGATGTATAGTTTGGACGGCCGGCTGTCGTTGCAAAGTCTCTCGGAGCTGGATTCGTCCCGCAGCTGGATCGCGGAGAACACGATTCTCACACCGACACCACCTCCGCCGGAGGACGACAACGAGAATCTCTTCTACATGGGTATCTGCCTGCCCAGGAGGCTGATCAACGTCTTCCCCGAACCTCCTCAGCCGACGCAGCCGAACATCTTCGAGGACATTGTCCGGTCGGAGCTGGAGACGACGGAGATCGACGAGGAGTCCAGTTCGGATTACGACGCGGACACCGAGCACTGTCGCGCGTGTCTCGTCTGTTATCACAGCAAGAGCAGGGACGCCGCCACGGAGCAGGACGTGAAGCTACGGAGGTAACAAGAACATTTTGCATCACCGAATTTTCCAGTCGCATTCTTAAGGAAGGAAAAAAGAAACACTTTCTTGAAAAGCTCGTTTTACTACTTTGTCGATATATGAATTAAAGGGAATAAGTGGGCCCTTACTTTAATATGTGTATTCTGTGTACAGGGAGATACTTAGGCACACCCAACGGCTCGCAAACCCCGTGTGGTACCGTCATAGTCGTCAAACGTTACTTAGACTGAGACAACGTTATCCGGAGAAATTTCAGGTTTCTATCTTTTCTCTCTCTCTCTCTCTCTCGAAAGTTTCGACGTGTGCCTTCTATCAGACAGATCTTAAAAAAACGTACACTTCTTTTCCCGACAGGACACCTGCTTATTTTCGGATGTAGCCGCGCGATTGGGCAGCGGTACATACAGAATGCCAGCCCGGCGATTTCTGCAGGAATTATTTCTAGACTCTCCATTCGAGGCGGTGAGTTTCATCTTTTCTTTACTTGGCTCTCGGCCGTGTTTTTCCAACGCCGATCGATTTCGTGTTGAAATGAATTCCCCGATTTTTGCAAACCTTTTTAACATGATTATTTTTATCCACTATCATTATATTACTTAATTATAATATTACATTTATATGATACATTATATAATGTAATAATAGCGACGTGTTATTTGAAGCGAATTCTTCTGTCGTCTGTAGCTTTACGTGGAACCAGTGAACATCCTGAAGATACCGATCGGCACCGAGGAGAATCCACCGCAGTCGTCGTCCGTTCCTGTTGCGTCCGAAGTCAGTCCGCACCAGCCGGTCGGTAGTCTTACTGAGGGTAAGATCAACGGAAGGCTCACTCTGACGGAGATGCAAACGGTGCAATTGGCGTCGGTGGCTGAGGAAGGCTCCTCGGCCAGCGTGGAGTCGTGTTCGGAGGGGATGCATCGATGTAAGAAGTCGACGACGGCGATAGCGACGGCGTCTGATCGGCGCAGCGACGAGAAGATCATAGCCGAGATCCTGAAGCCGGAGGAACGGATACGTTTGTCCAAGAGTTCCGATAGATCGTTAAAAGTATCAGGTACAAACACTGCCATTAGCCTTGATTCGTAGTTTTCGACTGTTAATCGCTACTGTAAATATTTTGTATCGAAGAGACCGATGATATAAGAATAAAATACACTGCCGAAATCACGGATATACAAATATATAAGTGAAAAAAAATGAGGATGAAGGAAGTCAGATTCACCCTGTGCGTGCGTGCGTGCATGTGTGTGTATTCTTATGTTGTACTTTGAGTGGTCGGCTGAAGACAGGGAAAAAGATAAGGGAAAGAAAGATGCTTTCTGCTACCAATGTTTCACATTTATTATGGGTTGCTAGGTGGTTCTTTCTTTTTTTTTTTTTTTTGTCGCGGAGATATGTTGAGTGTTTGAAGAGAGATTAAGTGATGCCCGCCCGCTTTAAATAATATTCTTATATCATATCAAAATTACGAATATTGAGGTTATAGTATTATTTTTTTATTAAGTTTGCGGCATCATATATTAAAATATGATTAAAGTTACAGTATATTGTAATTATTGATTGCAACAATGCTGGTTTGAAAGAAGTAACTTTTATACGATACACAGTTGATCGAAGAAAATTCTAGTTACAAATTGGAGTTCTTTTTGTCTATTAAAGAGAGAAAGAGAGATAAACATGCATATGAATTATTTCATCTTCATTTGTGATTGCAGCTCGATCGACTTGACCAACAGCGCAACGGACTGAACGTGACTGACGTGGTTTACACCCACCTCTCCAGAGCGCGCGTCGGGAGAGGAGGACGTTGCGACAAATTCTCACGAGATGGCCGCTCTCAAGCTTCTCTCTGCTCACAGTTTTGCCTTCTGCTTCGGTGATTGCTGAACGTCACCGATTGCACGCATCATCGCGCAACATCCGTCATTATTATTTATCGTGGGAGACACGAATACGAGTCATTAGCGCGAATTACACCGATGACGATGACAGCGAACTCCAAGCAGGGTTCCAAACGTTCGAAATGGGCGTTGGACTTTGCCCACAAGTACGTAACCTATCAGTGCGAATTTGACAAATATGACGAAGGGACGCGACCGAACCACACTGACTTCGCGTTCATATTTGCATACTACATTGTTATGCTCGATGCTGCTTCAACTGCACTTTTTCATACCTTATGACTTCTCTCAACTTTCTCGTATCCGTTAATAATCTGTACTTTATGCAGAACGAAACAAGACAAGAGCGTGGAGATACCGTCTCCACCAGGATACACGCCTACAGGTGTCTTTCATAACGTGGAGTACATGAGAGAATCCGATTCCAACCATCTGATAATCAAAAAGTCCTGGGACTTGGCACTGGGCCCTCTGAAGCAAGTGCCTATGAATCTGTTTATCATGTACATGGCCGGCAATTCCATCTCGATCTTTCCTATCATGATGGTCTGTATGCTCATCATCAGGCCGGTCAAAGCGTTGTTCACACTGCAACAGAGTGAGTACTATCGAGTACAAACAACTCGTGACCGCTCGTAACTGCGTATCTTTTGTTCCTCGTTCCAGCGTTCAAAGTGATCGAGGGGACGCACGCGTTCGGACAGAAGTTCGTGTACTTCTTAGGACAATTGGTCAATATCGCGTTAGCACTATATAAGTGTCAGTCGATGGGCCTGCTGCCGACACACGCGTCCGATTGGCTGGCGTTTGTGGAGCCGCAGGCGCGAGTGGAGTATTCCGGCGGTGGTTTCATGTATATTTGATGCGTGTAGTCGGTCGGCCGACTTCATAAGAGGAACATCATAACAAGTGCACATAATGTGCTCGGCGAGAGTGCGATCGTGAGTCATATAGCTAAGTTACAAGCTGCGCGTGAATAAGGACATGCGTACCACTTAAACGTCGTTTATTAAAATAAACATATGGAAAAGCAAATGTGTCTTTTTATACATGGTATATGACTACATATGTACATTACACACATCTTGTGCACCACGCATGCACGTCACGCGCGCACACACACCTATTTGCGCAAGTATAACAATATCTTCTTGGAACCAGAAGTATTGCGCATCAGTAATGGACACATTCATTCTGTTCCCTGTTTTTCTCTCTTCAGTTCACCGGAAGCAGTTTTGCAGAACAAAGAAATCATGGCTTCTTCTTGTGTTCTTCTAGAAATTCAAGTACTCGTTGATACAGTTTGGATGGTTCATCTACACGTGGCACCTACAAGTGATATATAATTAGTCCTGCGGAAAATGATGATAATACATTTCACGTGAAGCTTTGTACGATTTTTATGATAATTTTTAAACAGTCTTAATTGGGGGAACAGTGCAAATGTTGTAGTCAGGTAATTTGAATGTTACACCATTTGTACAAACTTAGTGTAACTACACGCACACACCTTGATACATATTAAACAAGAGATTTATCGAAATAAAGCGAATAAATTAGGAATATATGATCTTATCGAATCTTATCATTTGTGCGGCATACCTCGTAATTTTGCGCCAGATATATTCCGGCATATACTCCGATTCCTAAACTGATCTGCAACATTATATTGTTAACAAGGATGTATGAAGATTGTATAGAAATTACTATATATATACATGTATGTACATTAACTTACCAAAAATTTAAACATCTTAAAATGTTAGAATCTATTTAACCTAAGAAACTCGATCGCGAGAAAACACTCGCTCCAATGTCAATCCTTGTGCAGTCTCTGGCCGAGTTTAGGTTGGTTTTTTTTTGTAGCTGGGTTTGCACGGAACGAAGATTGGACGCACGACACAGAGGATACTTTGCACTGAATACGTTTATATATCTTCAGATAATGTGCAGCCAATGAAACGGCTCAATTTATCGGAAGGCAGTCCATCTGCTGAGTAAAGGTGGAAGTAGACGGTTTTAAATAGCGTGGGAGGTAGCTCTCTTTCGATTTTCCCATTTTATCTTAAAATGATGTAAAATAGTAGCGGTCCTACAATCGTCTGACTGACAGGAAATGATAATTTATCAATACTGAATGAGTGGCAAAATCGAAAGTATCAATTAACATAAAGTTTCACAAATATCTTTATACTTACATAACAGTATTGAGTTTTATTACGTACAATTCGCCCTCAAAATACATTCTTAAACATTACGTTGTTATTATAACGTAATTAATTGCTTCGCAAAATAACAGAAAAATCTTTACGTTTTATTCTAAGTAATTTATAAGATTTCCGTAAATGTAATATGCAGTGTACGCGTATAAATGTGTGTGTGTGTGTGTGTGTGTGTATACATATGCAAGTGTAATTGGATAGAATTTCTTTCAGAAAAATGAACGTTTATTTTAAAAGACGTTACAGGTATATTGAAAAATTCGACAGCACTTAAGTATCTACAGAAGTAAGATTTGCATCCTTTCAGAGGATTCTCACGTAGTAAGTGACTATTAGTAATTTGAGACAAAACAAAGAAATTCTAAAGGAATATCAGACCAATTTGATTATATGTGTATATATATATTATAAAGATCAGAGTAATAAGGTCATGTACCAAGATTCAAAGTTACGTAACAGTCAAGAATAAACGGATATCCATTTGCCATCACGTGATCCGAGGAAATCGGGACATAGATTCGCAAATATTGCAATGTGCGCGCGTGTGTGTGTGTGTAATTTAATATCGGTCCTCATCGTCTTCGTCCATGGCGAAATCACTGCCAACCCCGGAGTCCAGGACATAGAGAGGGCTGTAAAAGTGATGAAAGTCAAATACACAGACACGTGAAGTTATGACTTTAGAACGCTTTTTCCGCAAGAAACGCTTCAAATGGTTTAGTTTCTTGTGTTAAAGCTATCGGTTGGCGTACGTCGAATATGAGCTAAACTGTCATACGTTTCTTCAAGAAGAAAGGTCAACTCACTTTATCGCCCTGCACGTGAAAAAAACGATGCGCTTCAGCTTTTTGTTGTAGAAGAAGTAATTGAAGGACCACAAGCAGCCGTCCTCTCCAAACGGATCTGACGCGAAGTCCGGATTGTAACTACAACATTTGTGTGTGTGTGTGTGTGTAAATTCACGTCACTCTGAATAAGAAATGTCGTATTCCCCGGACGCTTACCTGTAAATATCACACTCGTGCAACGATATCTCGTCGTCCACAGCCGCCCATAGAGCGGAACGCAGCGTGCGGTAGTGATCGCCCGCGGTGGCGCTCAGATTGCCATCCACTGCGTTCGTCACCCACTGCAGACTCGGCTCCTTACTGAACTCGTGGCTCTTGGCATCTGAGAAATCGTAGTCCGGATGAAAGGCTGAATTTAACGTGGCGATCAAATAAAACAACGTCTTCCTGCTGATAGTGTCGCACAACGGGCCGTCTTCGTCGCCGGAGATGCTGCGACTGTATGTGACAGATCACAAATACACAGAGATGTGAGCAACAAGCGTTCCTATTTGCAAGAGTAAACGGGTGAGTCGACATTGTTGAAGGTACAAATTGTTGATAGACTTGTCCGGCGATACCTCAAGTATCCCTGAGCCGGGGACGTTCCCAAGGATGTCTGTGGCGGTGATAAAGCTTGTAGATCGTGCGGCGTCACCCCCTGCTCCGCGTTGAATCGCTTATACATCTGCTTGTCGTTGCCTGCCATCTTGCAAGAGTAACTTTCAATCCTGCGAAATGTAAACAGTGTTATCGAATCAGATGCTTTCCGACTGATAAATTCCACGACACTACAGGCCTCACCTCCCAATTATCTTGCTGTCTCCGGTCTTGATGGACAAGGCACTGTTGATAGCTTCGAAGCGGGTACTCTCCAGCAGCTTCATCGTGCCGATGAAGTTCACCGATCGTCCTGATTACGGCGAAACTCGATAGCTGCTCTGTACCTGCCAATTGTTTGCTCGTCGCAACCCCTACACGGGCCCAACCGTCATTCACGCCGACGGCGTTGACATTTCAGCGGCCTGTTTGTGTTGTCGTACGAGCCGTTCAAGGCAAATCTTGACCTGGTTTCTCAGTCGCACGGCCAAGTACGTTCAGTACAAGCGAAACGTTAGATAACTTCTTCGACTTCGAAGACTTATCAGGTCGTTGGGCATCTCTTTTATGCGTATGAAAATTCCTTTCCTCTTCGAGTGCACGAGATTGATCGTCGACGTAGTGGTCTTCCCGGCGTCGCTGTGCTTGCACATCACAGATCGCTAGTTAAGGATTTAGGGGGAGAGCGAGTCCAAGCTCAGTCAACGGGGTAAGCGATGAGAGGTAACGACGATCGCACAATCTCTCTCTCTCTCTCTGCAACAGGGGGTACGAACGCTCGTCGCTGTACACCTCGAGCGAGGCAGACACGCTCTGAGGAAAAAAGGGTAGTGGGGAGGGTCGCAGACAAGGAAGGGAGAGAGGGAAAGATAGGCAAATGGACAAAGAGAGACAGGTAGATAGATAGAGAGAGAAAGAACTAACGAGAAAAGCCAAAGGGGCGCTCGCTTGTTGTTGCCTCCTTCTCGGGATTTTCCTACCACTGTGTATCTTCGGCAAAGGCCGCGCGCGTCGTACGAAAACAGGCGCGAGCTGCGATGTACGATATTACGACGGTTCTCGCGACACTCCACCGATCGACGAGGATCGTATACGTCAACTCGCTCCTTCGCGGGAGATACGAGATTGCGCGCGGAAAGCAAGGGGGAACGAGTAGCGCCCGCTATTGACGATAACAATCCATAATCACGGACATTGTGTTCCACTGCTACGTAGTATCACGGTCACTGTCGGGATCAATTATTCACCGCCGCCGCCGCCGCCGCGATAAGCTAGGCCTAGGCTACGCGCAGCACACCGATCGTCGCCGATCTCTTTCTCTCTCTCTCCCTTTATCTTTCTCGTCTTTACTCGCGCGCGAGCTCGACCAGTTTACCAACTAATTGCGACTTGATGTCAGTTACGTTCACCGCGTACGTCGCACGTATGTGTGTATGTGCAACGGTACACAATGCACATACACATGCGACCCCAGGCGTGCGACACATGCGCACAAGAGCATCACTATGTGACAGAAATAGGAACGCGAAGTCACGAGACCCCTATCGTCCTCTCGCTCGCTCGCGCGTCTCGATTCGTTCGACGGCGGGGAGGACCCAGCCAATCGCATTACGTCAGCGGCGCGCCTCTGTGTGCGTGAGTGACGCGCTGCCGCCGCGCGCACGCGCGCACTCGTCGAAGCGGCATTTTCGTCCTCCCTCGTAGGAGAATAAATCGCGCCTCTAAATCATTGTGCTTCGAAGAATGTGAGACATTTTTTTGCTGGAGAGGAAATGTAGTCTCTCTAGTCCGCGCCGCTTGTACACTTCGTTACGTATTCCGAGCTGACTTTTATCGATCAAAGTGCCGGATATGTGGCTTTTCAGCCAATCAAGTAGTTCCTACTTTTAGAGGCACTTTTATCAACGAAATTGAGCTCAAAATACGCACTTCTGTTGACTGGAACAAACAATAAATGCTACACATTTTGATATACGACGTAAATATGAGCGATTGAATTATCATTGCAACGTAGTAAATTTATTGTCAATTAATTTCACTTAATGAGACTACCCGGTAAGATTTGAATTTAATTATTTGTTTCCGCAAAATTACAGTTTTGTTGTAATATCGGCCGTTCGCAAACTAATCTCGCGAGGGAATCGTGCTCGCCATCTTTAAATTCTAGCGCGTACTAGACCCAGGACCACTTACCTAGAGATGGCGCGCTCATCTGCACCATCTGCACTCCAGATGAGACCTTTCGATGCGGTGTGTATTTGCGGATTTGCCGTGGCGTGTGTTTGGCAGAATCTTAACCTCCTGCTTAGTGCGAAATTGACGTAGGATGTTTACAGGAATGGTAGGAGTTCATTGTTGAGAGATGTCCAAACGTTGGAACAGCGACTATGTGGTCACGGCGGAGCATCGCGATTTACAGGTGGGTCAACCGGGAATGCTGCTTTCATGCGTCGGGAATCATTCGTATTACCGAAGAGTAGAAATGTTTATCGTTTTGTCATCATGTTTAGGCTAGCACCATGGCTGTGGACGCGACCGGCAACTATGTTTTATTAGCCGGGTAAGTGACAATTTATCACGAGGAAATGTGTGCAACATCCCCAATCGTCGATCGTGCGAAAAAAATTGGTTTCACGAACTATAGTCATGATACTGAAGTCGATTAATTGTCTAATTTCGTCGTTGTCCGTAGACGCAGATATTTTGCAGTGAAGCGTTTAGATGAGGATATGAACACATTGAAGAAGTTCCAACGACAAAGCAAATATGAGGTTGGCTCTGCGGAATGGAATCCATGCGACCTGAACAGCCATTTGTGTGCAATATCTGTAAGTATATTCTTATCTGAATTATCAGAAAGATAATATCTGTGGAAGATTCTTACTGTTATTTTATTCTGAAATAACATGTTTTCAGAGCAATTCGCGAGTGGAGATATTAAATTTCACAGGAGCGGGAGGGTATGAATTGCAAACCACGCAGAGTCTTGCTAGGGCACACACACGTGTGATTAGTGATCTAAATTGGCATCCTAAAGAGCCAGACATCATAGCTTCTTGCAGTATCGACACATTCATACATATCTGGGACATACGGGAGCAGAGAAAGCCATGCTTGTCGTTGTCTGCAGTTGGTAAGATAAGTATTAACCGAACAGTTTGACTAAAAGCATATAGTTCTCCATCTCTGTCGTCTTCCTCCCTTCAGCGGGATCATCTCAGGTACGTTGGAATGCTCTATCACCTCATACCTTGGCTACTGCGCATGACGGTGACGTTAAGATATGGGATCAGCGGAAAGGAAATAGCCCTGTGCAGTATATCACAGCTCATTTAACAAAGGTATCTTTTTTTTTGTATATTATTCACCTCATATTATTTACATACTTATGTTTCGTTGCTTTTAGATACACGGTTTGGACTGGTGTCCCTTTCAGCACAATCAATTGGCAACGTCAAGCCAAGACTGCACCGTCAAGATCTTCGACATCGCCAATCCGCGCAGGGCCGAGGGTATCATGACGACGAATTCTCCTGTGTGGAGAGCAAGGTACACGGTAAGAAAAAAAAAAGAAATGTTAATTTCACAGTAACGTGTTGTATTATTTATTAACATCGGTACGGGTTTGCAGCCCTTTGGAGAAGCTCTAGTGACGATAGTGGTGCCGCAATTACGACGAGGAGAAAACAGCCTGCTGCTGTGGAACATGTCGAATCTCAGCGCGCCGATATACACGTTTGCGGGGCACACGGACGTCGTGCTCGAATTTCAATGGCGACATCCGAGATTAGGTTAGCACCGTCGTTTCTTTCTTTCTTAATCGGTCGCGCAGAATATCTCATTATAATCTTATCCGTGTAGAAAACAACGATTTTGAACTTATCACATGGTCCAAGGATCAATGTCTGAGGATATTTAAGATCGATCCTTTCCTGAAAAAGGTAAGAATTTTTTCTCTCTTCGCGCGCGTTACAGATTTACCGAATGATTTCGTGTTTTCAGTTATGCGGCAACGGTATAGACGACGGCATATCAGTTTACTCGCAGTACTCTGAGGAGAACAATTTAAGTACGTGGAGCCTCGACAAGGAAGGAAACAATGCGGCCGCATAGTCGCCGTGAAGTCGGTCATTTTTAATTCCAGCGACTGGATTCAAATGCGATTATGCGACCGCATTCCATAGATCTCGCTTTCTAACGGTTATTTTCCTTTCTACAGGGACTCTGCAATCCACTCAAGAACTGCAGCTTAACGGCTCGCAGAGCGCGCCCGAGATCAACTACATAACGACGAAAGTGGACGAGCCGGTGCCGCACTCGGAAACGATCAATCTGCCGGACAGCTCGAAAGAAGTCTCGTCGCCCACTCAGCCAAAGAGTTTGCAGCAGGAGTTCTCCTTGATAAACATGAACATACCAAATATAGAGGTAACTTCCTCTTATGCGAAGATACCGTTCAATACCGGACCGTTCTCCGATTACTCTGATCCAGGTGAACGCGATGGACGCGACGGAGAGGAGTTGCACGATCACCGCGTGCACGAAGAATTACAATGTGATATTAAAGGTGAATTTCCCGGTGAATTATCCGTACAGCGCGCAACCGACCTTCCAATTCTGTCCTGGGACGTCCATCGACAATGCGACCATGACGAAGTTGCTGAAGGTCCTCACGCAGACCGCGCAACAGCGCGTCCGGAAGAATCGTTCGTGCTTGGAGCCGTGTCTCAGGCAGCTGATTATCACTCTGGAGCAGGTGAGTATCGACGCGGCCATTCGCCTCGGAAAATCTTCGTGACTTCTCTCGCGTTACAGACATGTAAGAACGACGAGGACGAGAACAGTCGGCTGGCGTATCACATACAGGACAACGCGAACTTCCTCGGCTCGACCAACATATGCGCGAATTATCAGGATTCCTACATACCGTTCCCCAGGACATCCGGCGCCAAGTTCTGTTGCGTAGGTGCGTCTGTCCGTCGTGGAATTATCCTCCTGTCAATTGTCGTTGCTAATCGCTTCGATCGGGCAGGTATACTCGTTTGTTTCGGCCGGCCTTCGTACGCGAAGAGATCGTCCAACATCTTGAAAGCGGGAGGCACGACGCCCAGAGCGCTGTCCGCTCTGGGAAGTGGCAACGGCGAGCCTTTCATGCACATGTACCGGAACTCGTATGTGCCGACCAACGACAACATGTCCATCAGCTCGTATTACTTCCAAGATCGCGTAAGTGTGAATCGATACGCACAAGAGCTGTAATTATTGCTCGTTGTATCTGGCAAACGAGCGATAGATATACATCGACATAAAAAGTATGTTTGTGATATTAGCAGAAAGGTATGCGACGAGGGTTGCACGGTGCGAGCAGGATGCACGACAGGTCCGATTACAAAAATTACCACCCGATGGTCACGACATACGACGCCTCGTCGTTGTTCTTCGTCAACAAGGAGCTCGCCGAGAAGTACATGTGAGTACGCGGTACAGCTTGAGGAAGGATCTGGGAGAGAATATGTTTGCTTTTCTGCTAGAATCAATATCACCGATATCCCGGCCATGTGTCAGTACAACGCGAACGTGGCTGCCTCGTTGGAACGGTCCGATTTGGTCCAGGCTTGGTGTCTGGCCGCCCTAGTCATTTCGCAGCCGATCTCGGAGATCGAGGAGAATCCGTGCCCGATCCTTCCCAATATCGACGCCCCGTGGCCTCTGCACCCCTTCGGCCAGAACGTCATTCATTCATTGTGAGTGAGTTCGTTAAAATTATCCTCGATCGCTCTAAATTTCCAGGTTTTCGTCTGATGTGCACGCACAATCTTTCAAACAATTTCCGGCTTGTATTCAATTCTTCTTATTTTCGTAGAATACAGCATTACGCCAATCTATCGGACATTCAGATGGCCGGCATGTTGAGCTGCGCGTTCAGCTACAGATCTGAGAACACGGACGCTGCCCAGACCCGGCTGATCAGCAAATCCGTGAACGTCAGTGTAAGTATGCACGAGAACATTTGAAAAATTCCTCTTGGCACGGCTGAGAGTGCGTCATCGCTAAAATCGACGGGAAGACCGATCGTTTTCCCCACTTCTATATATTTCGAATGTATGATGATCGAATTTTGGATCCCCTTCATGCACAGCGTGTGTCACTTTCTTCCGATGCACGAGAGAATACGCAATAACGTTTCACAGAAATGTGTGAAATGTCTAAGCAAATACGACGGTATGGTGTATGCGCATATTTGATTGATCGCTCGGCTTTTGAGAGGAGAATCTTAAGAACCACACACGCGACGACTGGACATTTTTGCGAAATGTCATACGCGTTTCATAATAATAGCGCTGTGTTAGTATAACCCGTCAGTAATATCCACGGATTTAAATGTCCAATTTCTAACGTCTGAACCGAATGTACTCAGTTATTCGAGTACCCGGCTAGTCGAAATTGACAGCACTGCTCATAATACACAATCTATTATACTGTACCGGCGTATCCTTTATTCATGTCATATAATTGTGCGTACACAGCTAATGACGATTGACATCTGATACATTATTACGTTTGTTATAGAGGCTTTCCACAGGAAAATGGTGGTTAAAGGTAAGATCTCCGAATTCCGTTGAAATNTTTTTTTTTTTTTTTTTTTTTGGGGGGGAGGATATATTGGTTCTTAGGACTCTCCATTTATCGTTCGATATTCTTGCATTCGCCTCTCAGCATCGGACTGGAAGCGTCACTATGCCACTAAGAGTGCGGATTTAATTGACCTGATTGAAATGTCGACATATCTCTCGCACGTCACATGGAACGGTGATGCAACTTGAGAAGTTGCGAGTTTGATTCAACATCACATTTTCTGCTGTCTTGAGAAATTATATCTTTTGAGCTGTGTCACTTTTTCAAGTGACGTGCGATACATCTTGTATTTTCGTCACTTGTGTGCGTGCGTGTGTGTATACATATATATGTCTTGTGTGCAAAGAAAACATGTTTATAGCGAGTAATTTTAAGTAACATTGTTTATCGTGAGAGTTGCACTGTTGGTAGTACGATATATATCACCGCTGTGAATTGACCGCGCGTATCTCACACATGAAGCAAACAATTGCGTCAAATCGTCCGATCAGACATAGAACATTCTGATTGTGATCTCAATTTGGACAGTTTATTATTAATTTGATATTCCGGGACGAAATTCAAGCATTTGGAAAAATACGAATAGATGGCGACAATTTCACCGAGGAAAAATTGATTTCAAGCGGTACGTGTCGTTAAAGCTACGCTCACGAGTTGCGGAAAACATAGATAGATCAATTTCATAGAACTAATAAATTGCTGTCTTTGATATTAACACATTCGACAGACACGATACGAATCAAGTCCAATGCGATATTTTTCCTTATAGCCTGGCGGCTCGCCTTATCACACTATACATCTAGTGAACTCCACGCTGGAGGGATGGAACTTCCAGAACCTAAAACAGCATCGCTCCAACTCGTGGTCGGAGTCGTTGGACGACTTGAAAGTAATTCAGGACACGTTCGGAGACTCGGCGAAGAACATCAAGTACGTTGGACGAGAAATTACTTTTTAAATTGAGCTGTTAGAATCATTCATTATCAGCCAATTTCCTTACTGTCTAAAGATGCCAAACTCGGATCGAACTAATCAACGAATAATAATAAGAATGACTTTTATTTATTTGTTTTTTTTTCCCGTGTGTTGCTCCGAGGTAAGTTACTTTCGTGTTCAGGTTACTCGATGAGAAGTACACCGCGCTGTACGACGGCTACAAGAAAGCGTACGCCGAGGTATTGCACAGGTGGCGGTTGTTGGACGCCCGGGCGCAGGTGTTGAAACACCTGAGCGCGCCGCCCTTCGACACGCACAAGGGCGTCGAACTGCAGTGCCAGTGTCAGATCTGCGACAAGATCAGTCGTGGGCCGCAATGCGCGAACTGCAAGCGGCTGAGCTTCCAATGCGTCATATGTCACATCGCGGTCAGAGGTACGCGTGCTTTAACTTCTTAACTAACGAGTTGATGGTGTTTGTACATTCAATGTCAGTACTGAAAAATCTATGGTTCATGTCACATAGGAACGCTATTGTGTTTCTATCAATCGGCTCTAAGTCGCTTTATTCTCTTGACGCAAACTAGGTTTGAGTAACTTCTGCATGCTCTGTGGCCACGGTGGGCACACTCAGCACTTGGCCGCGTGGTTCAGCAACGAGACGATATGCCCCACTGGTTGCGGCTGTTACTGTCTGCAGGAGAGTTCGGTATTGTTTAAGATATAAGTAATGTAGATGAAATTGTTGTACATAGTAGTCGTGATGACCACATGTGAATCGCGTTGTTACTGTGAAAGAGGAATAAATTTATGGCTCTTCTTTAAATCTCCGAGTTGCCTCCAAGCAAGCTCGACGCGAACTGATTAATCTTCAAAAGTTGGGGTCAGAGGAGTTCGACGACGATCGCAAGTAACTCAGGGTCGTCAATGAGAAGTATCTCGCGAAACTCTCTCTTCGGGGAGTTATTTATTTGTACCTTCCTCCCACAGATTTCTCTGTTCTTTCACGGTTTTCGTAAGACGTAAATTTAGGCTGAAGAGCTAATAAGGATACAGCTCAGCGATGCGTTGTCACGCGAAGGAAAAATGCAGTGCAGTAAAAACAATTTATTTCGTTAAGCAGCGACTCATTCGTGAATCTCTTCGTGTACACACGAATTTCGTCGGCTAGTACCTATAATGATTAGGTTTGTAAGGCCCTTCCACAGGCACGTCCAAATACCTGGCCTGCTCCGGCGTCAGAGTCGTAAGTTTCACGCCCAGGTGATCCAGGTGCAACGCCGCCACCTCCTCGTCCAACTTCTTCGGCAGCATGTGCACGCCGACAGGGTATTGATACGACTTGGTCCACAGCTCGATCTGCGCGAGCACTTGGTTCGTGAACGAGTTACTCATGACGAAGCTCGAGTGGCCCGTCGCGCAGCCCAGATTCACCAGACGGCCTTCCGCGAGGAGAATGATGTGCCTGAGAGATGTGAGTGACTTTGAATTTCTCTCACGGGTATAGAAGGCAAGGCAGCGTACACACCTGCCGTTTTCTAGCCGGAATCGATCGACCTGCGGCTTCACATTCACCTTCTCCACGGCGTTCTTCTGCAGCCAAGCGACGTCAATTTCGCAGTCAAAGTGCCCGATGTTGCAGACGATAGCGTCGTTCGGCATGTTGATGAAGTGCCGACCCAACACGATATCCTTGCAGCCGGTGGTGGTCACGTATATCTGACCCTTGGTACACGCTTCCTCCATCGTCGTCACCTGAAAGGATCATCAGACGACGGTGCACGATCAATTACACTCGCGACACGGATCCATCTTACCTCATATCCCTCCATGGCCGCTTGGAGAGCGTTAATGGGATCGACTTCCGTGATGATGACGCGACCACCGAGAGCACGAAGACTCTGTGCGCATCCTTTGCCAACGTCCCCGTAGCCGGCTACCACGCACACCTTCCCGGCGATCATGATATCGGTCGCCCTCTTGATGCCGTCGATCAACGACTCCCTGCAGCCGTACAAATTGTCGAACTTGCTCTACAGCGCGAACAAACGCGGGCTCAATTAGCGATATATAACTAGTCATATTTTTATTATTAATTAATCAACATTACTGTGAGATTTATTACTAATTTCCTCCTTATATATATATATATATTCTTTTTATTACTGAATAATAATATTCCGTAAAAAAGTCAGTTGACTTCTTCAGGAGAAGGAACGTCCATGAAGGAAGCGATGCTAATTGTAGTTTTAATATTTCAATCATTAGTCAGGCTTGCGTAGAATCAAAGAGAATCAGCCCGACTGTAGAACTTTTTCGGTTCACAGAAATGCTACTTTCCGACGAATTTCCGGGCGCACGAACCTTTGTGACGGAGTCGTTGACGTTAATCGCTGGCACTTTAAGTACGCCTTCCTTTAACATGCGATAAAGATTGTGCACCCCGGTGGTGGTCTCCTCGGATATGCCCCGACATTCCGCGAGGTACTGCGGGTGTTTTACGTGCACGAGGTTGGTCAGGTCGCCGCCGTCGTCGAGAATCATGTTGAACGGCTTGCCGTCTTGGAAGACCAAGGTCTGTTCGATGCACCAGATGTACTCCTCGTCAGTTTCGCCTTTCCACGCGTACACCGGCACTCCGGTCTTCGCTATGGCCGCGGCCGCGTGGTCTTGTGTGCTGAATATGTTGCAGGACGACCATTGTACCTTTAACACAACGGAAATTTCTCACCTCGAAAGTTGGATCTCTGATTTGTGCTTGCACCACGCAAGAAAATTTTATTCTCTCGAGAGTATATAGAAAAGACCTGGAAAGAAATCTGTCATTATGTACATCATACGTCTTACGAGTGATCTGGGGGTCAATTTTTGCGAGGCAATTCCGAACAAAAGGACGTCGTTACGATTAGAATCTCACAAAGTGAGTGAGCGAGAACCGCACCGACGAGGAATGTTTTTTTTTTTTTTCGAACATGGCTGAAGGCAAGGTTGCAGATCTTACAAAGCATCGAGAGGTCGTCGGGGCCATTAGCGATAAGATATCGACACGGCGAGTTTATCTTTTTTAACACGTACGAATAGTTGAGTTACATTCCATCATCGCTATTTACTCTGTTACTTATCAATGGTCTTTGATGCGAAACATGCATCGTGTACGAGTGGAATTCAAATGGCCGATTCTTTCACAATAAATGTAACAATTCTTCATTTTGAATATTAAATTACACAATAATGATTAATTTATGCCGAAAATAGGTCGTATTAATTCATAACTACTAGTAATATGATTATGAATGAGTTATGATCGGCCAAGTGAATTATTTTGCATCAGTCAGAGTGGTAATTCTAGTGCTCACCTCGGCGCCGAGTTCCACGAGGGTCTCAATCAACACCGCTGTTTGCACAGTCATGTGAAGGCAGCCTGCGATCCGTGCGCCCTTCAGCACCTTCAACGGCCCGTACTTCTTCCTGATCGCCATGAGTCCTGGCATCTCGTTCTCCGCCAGGGTGATCTCCTTGCGACCCCATTCGGCCAAGGACAGGTCGGCTGTTTGCGAAAGAGCGACATATTTAGTTTTCAACTTAAGCAAGCAGGAAAACACCCGCCGGTTAAATCTGTTGTTATCTTGGAATTAATGTTCCAATAGGTCTATTTTGTAAGAAGTTTTTAACGACACCGCGACTAAACGACTTTTAACGATTTTGTGACAACAATGTCGATACAAAAAAATAGACCTGCAAAAATGCTACGTACATATTTATATGTAAATAAAAAATGAATGCACACCGTGTGTGCAAGATAAATGAGTCTATCGATTTTTATTATTGTAATCCATAGTTTTAAAGTTTTGGAAAAAGAAAAGAATCGTTTCCTCCTAATTTTTCCGCGGATTGTTTTTTCTTACGGAAAAAGGAAAACGCGGCAGATTTTTAACGAATAAACGTGAATTTTTCTACCCTTGGTGATAGAAACAACTTTATCCGAGGGATATCCTCCTTGGGAAGTTCGTTTTGTACGGGAACTAAAAAAATTCGAGGAAAATTAAGCAAGAACGGGTTTTCTCCAAAACTTTACAATTATACCGTGATAAAGAATAATTACTTCAGTGATGAATAAGTAATGATTTATTATAATAGAAAAAAGAGATTTTCCTCGAAGCAATGGGGAATGCACGCAGCGATAACTCACACGTGCCATACCGGCTTGAACGAGCGAGCCGTGCTCTGAACGCGACCGTTTTTTGTTCGCGCGTTCATTCACTTACCAACTTTGTACGTGGGTTTGCTGGACATACTGTCGGAGTCGATTCGTTCGTGTCGACGTGCACAAGAAGAGTGCCTTTCACGGACTACACGAGTGATTTTGCACGTGAAATCTGCACGCTCACTGTCGCCTACGGTGATCACGTGATCCGCGCACGAAGTCAGCTGGAGGTGATCACGTGATCCCAGTTCTAATCCGATCGATACCGCAGGTCGGCCCCTTTTTTTATTACTTATTTCATCGTTTTATTTATTTACTTGATATTTATATATTTTATTTGCGTAATATTTTATTTTATTGTAGAAAACTTTGTACATTGGGAACTCGGTGTATTTTTACAATTTTAACATCGCGCTTCTCGTTATAGGGGCGGCCACACGAGCGCTACTTCTGCGTGTACATAATCCGGAAGCCACTTCTTGTAGGACGACAGCAAAACTGAAATTACAAGATATTTCGTGTTGATAGTCGCGAAGAGATATCGCGTGTAAATTAATTATATGAAAATACACCATTCAGGATTTACAGCAGCATTGTAGAATTTAAGGTTTTGGAAAAAAAAAAATTGTTTTTCCACATTTTCCCGCAGATTTCATTCAAACACGCGTGAATTTTCCTAAACGAATTTTTCTTCCTTCGGGGGACAATAAACGAATACTGTGGAAAAATTGCAAAAGGGAAAAACTGGTTTTCCCCGAAACTTTGAAACTATAGCCAGCATTACACAAATCGGAATATCTCTTACATTGCTTGTCCGAAGCCCAAGTTTCCAGCAGTTTTTCCTTGGTCATGATTCCGTGTGTCATCAGCTCTTGAGTTATCGCCTGGATGCGCGGTACCAGTCTGACGGAGGATTCGCAAGGTATCAACATAATTGCTTAGATAAGTTTAGAATCAGTAATTATAACGGTGATACTTACTTGGACCACAACTTGGTGACGCTGATGGGCGTCGTCAGCAGCGATGGCACGAATCTTTTCAACTTGGGACACACTTGACCCTCCAAGAGGAAATACACGAACCACTTCACGCCGTCCACCGTCAGCGGGTGCTCTATGTCCATAGGTGGAAGTGTCCAGCTGGCTCTGCCGAATGTACCGGTTACGCGACACATGACCTTTCCGGTCTTCCGCTCGTACCTATAAATAATTATCACAATAGGGATTCTAGATACATTTACACCGCGATTGGAAAATTATCTCTTGTGCAAGTCGAATGTAATTATCAATTTTTCATCGTTAGTTATTATTAAATAGAGATCGTTTATAACGTCAATATGTAAATTGTCTGTATCTTTACAGATATCTAAGTTGAGAAAAGAAAATTGAACTTCATAAATGTATCTTTGATTTACAATAATCATAAATAACAACTTCTCCTATATTGTGAGAGAAAAGCATAATGAAGAAACTAACGAGGATACCTCGGCGGTGGATCGGTCAATGGTTCGCTGAGGCGACACAGAGACGGCGCGAATTTCGGCAACCATTCGGGTTGTATCGCCGTGACTCCTCGCATGTATATCTTGTTTGTCTCGTACACCTCCTGATAGACCACCCACTCCGGACTGGTCTTCCGTAGGACGCACGAGGAGTGCATGAATACTGGATCCTCCATTTCCGATGTTCTACACAGAAGTCGACGTTAATAGTCGATGGTAAGTCGAAGATCGTTCGGGAAAAAGTGATCAACGATACGCACCTGTAGGCGTACTTCCACTTGGACTTGTCCTGGTCCTCCTTCACTTCGTCGGGCAATACTTTCTTCGCGACTTGATCCGCCATTCCTGCGAGCACTATCTGGCGCAGTAACATAGTCTTCACGTCGGTCGGCGGCGGCATTCTGTGGCGGAATTCTCGTTACGGAAAAGTGTCTTTAACAGAGAAAGGTGTGTGGAAACGTACCTTGGATCGATGCTCAAATTTAGCTCGGGCATATTTAAGTTAATTTCATTGGTCAGCTGCTGCCGGAGCTTCCTGATCTCCACCACAGCCTTGTGCCGCAGACCATTCTGCTCGCAGAAGAAAAGCAGCTTTCCCTTAGATCCTTCGTACTCTGCGGCCCCGATGGCTTTTATCAGAACCATTACGTCACCTGTGGATACGTTGTTTTAATACTCTTCGACAATCTCACGTCTGAATGATCACCTACCGAGAAGCAAACTGTTACCGGCACCGGCCCAGTAACGACGGATCTGCAGCCACTTGCTCTTAGCCGGACCACCAAGCGCCTCTATCAGCACTTCTTGAACACTCAGAGCTGCCACCATGCATATCGTGTACTTTAGTAAGTTATGCTGGTGCGACAATGCCAGCATTTTGCCATAACGCGGGGCGACCGGGAATGCCGCAATGCTGCGTCCCAGCGGTGTCACCTTTGCGCAGTAAGTCTCTGAAGATAATCGGAGATATTAATTTTACGAAAATTTCTTCACTTGGTCTAACCAAATGGAGAATTTTTTGGAAACAAAGCATGCATTTTTTAAATATATCATCAATATTAATTAATATTTATTAATTTTATATATCTTTTAAACGCAATAATGTTGGTAATTCGAAGCATTGAATGACAATCTAAAATTGGTTGTTCGATTACCTTCCTGCTTTTTCGGAGGTTGCTGCAGCGCTCCGAGTATCGTGAGCCGCTTTTCCGCATATTTCAACTGCGCGATATCCGGCGGCGTGGGGAACGGGAAATTCACGACCTTGTCGATGTTCATCGCCTTCATCTGCAGCAACAAGTCGTCCACCGGCTTCCTCTGAATCTCCGACGGACTGTACTCCTCGAACTGGTTGTTGTACACAGCCGACGAGTATAATCTGCGTGACAAAAAAGACACGAGCATAAAGTATATATCTTCACGTAGAACGTCTCTCTCAGGATACCTGTAACAATGGCCAGGTCCGGTTCTGCCGGCTCTGCCGGCACGCTGACTGGCCGCCGCTTTGCTGACATAGCAGATCCGGTATGTGCTCACACCGGTCACCTTATCGTACACCCTGGTCTTACAACGCCCGCTGTCCACCACGTACTTGATATTGGGAATTGTCAGTGAGGTTTCCGCTACGTTCGTGCACACCACGCACAAACGATATCCTTCCGGTGGCGGTTCAAACACCTGTACGATCATATCAAAAGACTCTACTTATTTTGCCAAAGTTCATTTAACATACGAGTGATTTATTAAATGATTATCAATTTAAAGTGTAATTATGAAAAAAGTTATTTATTGTGTCGTTAATCTTGTAGGCGATAAACATGCTGCTTGAGAAAATATAGCACGTATATTTACCTTGGCTTGTTTGTGGCCAGGTAAAAGAGAGTAAAGCGGCAAGACCCACAGAGGTTGTGCGTTCGTCAGTCCCTTGAAATCGATTACGTCTTCATCCTCATCCTCATCTTCGTCTAAGTTATCCTCGTCATTTTCTACATCAATTAGATCTTCGTGTGTATCATCGGTGGGAATCACGGAATAGCTGAAACAAATGTTCACACGTGCGTACATTTCGAGAGGGAGAAGAATAAAATTTGGATGGCATCATACTTGTCGAGATTAATATTTGGAAGCTGTTCCTTCCGCCTCAGTTTGTTCCGACGTAACGCCTCCTTGTCGTCGAAATCCTCTTCGCATTGTTCCTCATCCGCTGCTTCTTTTGAGGCACATTCACTCATATCCGAGGAGTCTGTCTGCTTAACTCGGGCTTTCCTCAATGGAAACGCTTTGCGCAACTTACGCACGACCGTGTGCACTTCCTGCTGACCTGAATTCCAAATTTTGGTTTAATCATCCCCCCCCCCCCCCNAATTTTTGTTTTAACCCCCCCCCCCCCCCCGGTATGAGCAAAGATACGCAAAATATACGAGACAAGTTCAACTATCACAGTACCTGTTAGGAACACCAGAATGCCGCCGTCCGGCAGCCGAGTGTGAATCTTGATCGCTTTGCGCAACGCATCGTCCACGTAATCCTCGCTTGTCCGCCTGTTGAAGTGTATATCGACAGGAAACTGTCGTGCCTCGACCGTGATCACCGGTGGCTTTACCTTGAACAACCTCGCGTTCTCCACAAATTCCTCGACGCGCAATGTGGCGGACATGATTATTAGCTTCAAAGAGCTGTTCCGCTTGTCGCGGAGCGAGACGATCCTCGACAGCAGCCCGATCAGGATATCCGTGTACACGCTGCGCTCATGCGCCTCGTCCAATATAATCACAGAATACTTGCTCAAGAGAAAGTCCTGAAAATGCGCAAAGGTCGGTGATTATGATGGTCGTAACGGCCTTTTAATCGTACGTACACTCTGAATCTCCTTCAGTAAAACACCGTCGGTCATAAACTTGATTTTCGTATCCTCCGTAACGTTGCCCTCGAAACGAATCAAATAAGAGACCTCCTTCTCGGTGAGGTTCATTTCCTCGGCTACACGCTTGCTCATCGACATCGCCGCCACTCTTCGCGGTTCGGTTATTCCGATCAATTTATCCCGAGCGTATCCGGCTTCGTAGAGGAATTGCGGCACTTGCGTGGTCTTTCCTGTAATAAGCGTGCAAGCGGTTGGACTCGAATTACTTACACATACGCTGCTGCTGATTAGTTTTACCCACCGCTGCCCGTCTCTCCTGTAATAATGACTATTGGATTCTCATTTATATTTTCAACAATTACTTGTTCTTCCGCAACTACAGGCAGTTTCAATCTAGCAGCCTGTATTTCTGGCTTTCTGTTCAGGAGCACAAAGACGGCGGGTGTGTGAGCGATGGCACTTTGCTGTTGCGCCTTCTTCTTCGTTTGTTCCTTACATTTCTCAACTTTGCTCGAAATTGTTTGATCTTTCGCATCATTCGTTGAACTGTTCTCATCATCTTTCCTCACATTTTCCTGAGTGTTATCTCGAGTAGTTTTATCCCCGCCATCTTTTGTCATATCATCACCTTCATCCTTTTTTTTATTTACCGCAATTTCAGAAGTAGCAACACTCTCGGAAACACGTGCTTCATTCTTGTCGTCTGTATTATTTTCACTGTCACTATCATCAGATTCCTGCAAAATAAATATTATGGTTTTTTTTTTCCATTTTTATTCAACACGCTCCCTCATAAACTTACTTCAAACCCAATCACATTTGGATCGGACACAGTTTGTTTTGCATTGTCCAGAACAGCTAATCTCTTCTTTTTGCTTCCTTTGATAGAATTCACAACTACTTCCGTATCACTTTCCTCTTCAAGCACCTTGCGCTTCAATTTTGACTCGGGTGCTTCTTGTTCCTGAAAATACCGCTTCAAACCTTTATTTTGCAGAGACGTAAAGCTCATATACTGTTGTAATTCAGTTGCAGGCACTTGTACTTTTGCAAGTTCTTCCAGCAATTGTGCACTCTGTGGCAAAATAGATATTATCAATTATTATATAAAACGTCTCATGTCGTGATCATCAATGACAAAATTACAGTACTTGTAATTTCTTCTTTTTCCGTTCCACCACTTTTTCCAGTTGTTTCCTACGTTTTTTCGATAAGAACTTAGTAGCAGGTACATTTTTATTTATACTTTTTGTTTTTCTCTTCTCGGTGAATAGAACAAGAGCATTGCAACTGTTGTATTTGTCAGCACGATGGTCGATGTCTATGACAATCTGAAACACATTTCACATTGTGTTTAACAAATTATACGTTTAGAGAGAATCTCAAATTATTTCTTTAATCCTAATAATCTAATTACATCGCGTGTTGAACTTATTCCGCCGGTTAAAGAACAGAAAAATATTATTAACAAGAATATTACATACGAGGAATTAGTCGTTCTGTAAAAAATATTGTATATTTATTATAATTTCATGTTAAAAATAAAAGCTAAAAGAAACTAACCTCATTGGTGGGGGAATTATCGATTTCCACATTTGCGGCGTTTTTCAATTTCCAATTGAAATCTTTCTTCTTCATTGTTGATAAGTAGAATAATTCATAAAGAATTAATCATTCTCAGAGCGTGTAAGACTTTAAAAGAGTAAATAACAGCAATTCTTTTTACGATTACAGATTTACAACAATCATGGACAAACACGTGGGTGACAGCACTCGACCAATCTCGACAGTTTTACTGCACACGGAACGTCTGAATGAGTTCTATATAAATATTTTACGTTTTCACTATCAACGATACTGATCATAATACGTGATAATACTATTGTAAATAACTGATTTTTAATCTTTTAGTGAGAAGAAGTTACTAGCTAAAATCCCTAGACAGAGCGGATTGTTAAATTTTCGTCATGTTGGCGACCGTTGAATGATAGCGTTTCATTTACCTTCAGGTGTGTATTGTGGTGACACAAGCAAAGTGTGGTTAGCGTCGATTAACTAGATTGCAGGAGTTGATTAATTGAAATTAAGGATAAAAATGGCTTACGTGGATAATATTGTTCAACGACACAAAAATCCTGTTACGGAACACATGATTGGAGCGGACTGGCTCAATTCGGAGCAGAGCACAGGGGTGAGTTTGTGCAGACGATAATTTGGAGGTTACAATGACACTGCAAAGTCGTTTAGCAAAAGTAACATTTCCGTGAAATTTACGGCTCTAGTAGGCTAATATTATCAAAAAGTAAATAATGAAGAAGCGTGTGTGTCCGCTATTTGGAGCTAGAAGAATCGACTTTGGAGTATAATTTGAACTTGTTGATTCATCTTGAATTTCGTGAAAAATATATTGGCCATGTAATGTGTACGTGTATTTTCTGAATTTCTTTGAAATACACAATTAACGTTAACAATAACTGGGCTTTGTCCGTTGAAATGAAGACAAATTTTATATGTAAGAATCTGTCTAGCAGAGAAAATGGGTCAACGAGCGCTTAACGATTATCGATAGATTCCTGTGGGTTATCGAGAATTTCGAGAAAAGAATGCTTCAGCCACTGACGATGATTACTAAGCGCTCATTGTTTCTTTCTTTGCCGAACGCAGTCATTAACGATTCATTTACACAAAATTATACAAGATTATGTTATATTTGAACAATCATTCACCTATGAGATTCTGTTTGCGCATCTTCCGAGGATTATATGTGTTCTCTTATCATGATTTATTAATTGATGATTGGTGTCAAGCTGATGCTATATTTGAAATTATCTTGACTTACAGACATCAATCATGGCGTGTGAATTTGATGGTGGTGTCGTAATAGGTGCTGACTCCCGGGGAACAACGGGGTAAAGAAAAATTCATGTGATATTCACCCATTATTCACCACGATTCCCATTGTAATTTCTCGTCACTTTTTCCAACAATAAAGCGTTCGAATTTTTGCAATGAAATTTCTCGACAATTGATCTACTAAAATTTTTCCTCGGCAAGGAAGAAGTCTTTCGGAAGATGCATCCGTAGCACAATGCAAGCTTAACTTATACTACAATCACTTTTTCAGAGCTTATGTTTCCAACCGTTTCGCCGACAAACTAACAAGAGTGACGGATTACATTTACTGCTGCCGTTCCGGCTCAGCGGCGGACACCCAGGCCATCGCCGATATAGTCGCGTACCACTTAGGGTTGCACCAGTGAAGTATCAGCATTGTCCATAAGACATTGTCGATGCGTCGATGAGAACGAACTTTCGGTTGTCCAGGATGGAGCTGGGCACGCAACCCTTGGTGGAAACCGCTGCCAACGTGTTCCGCGAGATATGCTACAACTACCGGGACTCGCTGATGGCCGGGATTCTCGTGGCGGGATGGGACAAGCAAAAGGGCGGCCAGGTCTACAGCATTCCCATAGGCGGTATGTGCGTGCGACAGCCAATCTCCATCGGCGGCTCCGGCTCGACGTACGTGTACGGCTACGTGGACGCGCATTACAGGCCCGACATGACGAAGGACGAGAGCCTCAAGTTGGTCGAAAACAGTGAGTACTGCTTGGATATCGAGGAAGGGAAGGAGAGGCTTCAATGTTCTCGTTTCAGCACTGGCGTTAGCCATGGCTCGCGACGGTAGCAGCGGCGGCGTCGTACGCACCGGCGTCATCACCGAGAAGGGAATCGAGCGGAAGGTCATACTGGGCAATGAATTGCCGCGCTTCTACGAGGGCTGAAGTTTCATCACCTCTCCGTTTTTCTTTCTGTCGCGCGAGATCGTTAATATTTCTAGAGATTTTCGCCACTGGGTTCGCTGATTAAAGGATACAAAGTGTGATCGGACGTACATTCTGTGTTCTTCCATTTCCCGACATCGCCCCGATCCCGGAAACAAAGCGGCGAAGCGCAAGGTGCCCCGTGTGTAACCATCAGCGAAGGCCGATTATTAATGAATGAGAGATTTGAGCGGGAAACGTCGACCGAAATTTCGAGCGCTTTTGTTTCCGATTTCCGAGGAAGACCTGTGCGCGGAATCGCGGCCCTCAATTTATTTGACCAAACACGTATCGCCACTTCTAAATTTAGGTCGTATTATCCACTTGCGATTCGCCGCCGCTGGGCGTATATATCCGTCGGTCGTTTCGACTCCGTACTTTACTCGTCTATTGCCGGAGTAATTGGCAAATTGTCGCAATGATACTATCGTGATGCGAGGTAATCGCGACGACGACGTTGCTGCGGGCCCTCCTCCTTGGGCTGCCGCCGCGTGCCCCATCAAGGTAGTCGCGACAGAACGTTGTCAACCGCGCGCGCGATCCACGCTACTTTCACGCATACGATACGAGGTGCTTTATAAATGGGTGAAAGAATTTTCGTGGGAGAGAGGTTTGCGATTAGGATCGAGTACGCAGCACGAGAAATTCGTTTATAAAGCAGGAGCTTTCGCCAGCCACTACGGTAATTAATCGTTAATTCTCTAAATATCGTATCGTCGGTGGAATTAAAAGTTACGTTCAATAATCCGACGTGTCGTTAATCAGGGGCGAGATGATTTCGCTTGTAATTTCGTCGACGAGTGTGTCAACACGTTGAATCAACCGCGTCAAAGAAGAAGAATTCTTCATCTTCGTTGACACACACTTATAAGCGAGAGATCTCGATAAAGAATTAAATCTTTTGAATGCATTCGTTACTGATAAGAAGCACAAATAGTGAGGAACAACCCACTAACACAGATCGTTTCTTGATATTCCGTTCTGCATCGTTCCTGTTAGATAGCAGCGTGACTTCCGCGAGCCGACGACCGTTGAATTACAGCCGCTGACTCGACGGTGTTACAAGCGACGCAGGATGACATCGGAGGGCACTTCGGATGACCTGCTGGCGAACTGGGAGATGCCCACCGTCCAGGAAATCAGCGACACCATGCAGAATTTCGGCATGCCGGACTACTCGGTGTTCGCCGTGATGCTGGTGGCATGCGGCGCCGTCGGCGTCTATTTCGGCTTCGTGAAGAAGTCCTCGGGCGAGGACGAGTACCTGGTCGGCGGCAGGAGCATGCAAACGGTGCCGGTCAGCTTCAGCCTGATAGCCAGCTTCATATCAGGTATTTTGCATTCTCTCGTCATTCGTCGCAGACGGGGTTGATGTACCTCGCGTGGAAAGTTTTGCGGCGGGGGGTAGGGGACCTGTAGGGGATTGTTTGCACACGACGACAATGTATTTGCGATCGTAGCAAATAGATCGCGAAAGATTTTCTTATTTGCTGTCCGTATCGTATATCCGTGGAAACTTTCCACCGGTCACTTTTTTATCTTACTTACCTTCTCCTCTGTCTTTCTTCCTACGTGGTGGCAAACGGCTAGATTAGATAAGCGCACAATTAAGTCGTAAATAACCTGTCGTGTATGATCCTTTCAAATTTGCAAAATGGAAACTGATTCAACGGGCGCTACGTTTGCACGATACTTACATTCCCGCGCTGTTACACTTACAAGAGCACATTGAATTGCGCGGTGTTTTTGGAGATGCAAAATTCGCCCAATCTCTTCAGGTATCTCATTGCTGGGTATGCCGACGGAGATTTACGTGCACGGCACGAGCTATCTCTTCATCGTCAGTGGGATTATTCTTGTGGGTTTCATCATGTCCAACGTGTACTTGCCGGTCTTCTACGAGCTCAAGCTCACCAGCACCTACGAATATCTCGAGATGCGTTTCGATAAAAAGATCAGATTACTAGGCTCTGTCCTGTTCTGCATCGGTATTGTGAGTAGCGTTCTTGCAATCTGCATAAATCTCGCGTTCGTCGACACGTTGATACCTTTGCACGATTCTTGCAGATGATTTGGCTCCCGATGGTTATCTACGTACCTGCCTTGGCCTTCAATCAAGGTAATATCCTCCACACGATCTGATAAGAAACGGATCTAACAAGCATTTATTTCAATAGTGCCCGAATTCCACGATATTTCCTCACGATACTCTCGTAAAATTGCGCACATGTTATAATTGAATTTTTTTTTATTTATATAGAATTTTCTCTCATATAATATACATATGTATTTATATACATACATGATTTCGTTAATTTTTATAATTAATTTTTCTTTCATTATTCTTCTTTTAGTGACGGGGGTGAATGTGCACATAGTCACTCCCTTCGTGTGCATCGTTTGCATATTCTACACCTGTGTGGTAAGACGTTAGATTTGCATACTGCATTTTCTCTCGCAATCGCAGACGTATTTGTTCTAATTTACGTCGCGCAAGACTGTGCGCTGAAAGGATCTATGATTGGACTCACAGGGCGGCCTCAAGGCGGTGGTGTGGACGGATTTCATTCAGACCTTCATCATGTTCGGCTCCATGCTGTTAATTGTAATTAAGGGCACGTGCGACCTTGGCGGATTATCCTTGGTGATACGAAGAAATCTGGAATCCGGAAGACTCGAGTTTCCCTCGTGCGTGTGACGTTTAAGCGTTAATAATTGATCTTGTTATCTCGTGTCTTTCTTAAAATAATCGAGAGACTTACAACATAATCAATACTTCCGTTGCTTTCCTCGCCGCAGCTATCTTGATTAATGATGTCAGAAGCAAGAAACAGTACGCCGAAAATTCCTAAGTTGAAATAAAAGGGTATATTCATAAAACGATACATTTGCTGGTGGTCAAATGAATGCATTTCTAAAATATTACTTTCCCGCCGTAAAATTAGGTCATGAGAAAACAAAGGTGGATCACATTTTACGGTTGTTTATTGATTGTTAGAGCAAAAGAGGAAAATCCCTGGATAAGATATTTTACAAAAGTATCATTTCACGGACATATCCTCTTGTGTGATTTATTTGCAAAAATTTCTCGCTTCTAACATCATCGAACAAGACGACTGTAGCGAGCCAGGAGTCTTAAAGCGTCTTTCTCTACAGAACCGACTGGAATCCTCTGACGAGGCACACTATCTGGGGTCTCATGATAGGCGGCACCGTGCATTGGTTGCAAATCTCCGCTATCAATCAGAACATGATTCAACGATACTTGGCGCTCCCCACTTTACAGTCGGCCAAAAGGTTTGCGCAATGACAATGTAATCCGTTTATCGTAATAATCCTATCAATACGTTATGAGCGTAATAGGATAATTTGCTTTTCGACCAATCGTTTCAGAGCACTCTGGTTTTTCATAGTCGGAATTTTGGCTCTGATTATGATATGCGGATACGCCGGCCTGCTGATCTACGCCTGGTACCACGAGTGCGATCCGCTCACGACCAAGGTAACATTTATTTGCAGCCCCTAACGCTCTTGATGTCGCAGATATCTAATGCGTGTGTAACGTAATACAGCTGGCGCGTGCGAAGGATCAATTGCTGCCGTTGTTGGTGATGAACGTTTTGGGAGAACTTCCGGGGCTCCCTGGTCTCTTCGTGGCGGGCGTTTTCAGCGCCGCGCTCAGGTCGGTTAATTAATGATATCATATAAAACATGTGTCATATTATTTTGTTATATTCAGTTAAAAGATATATACATTTGGACAAACTTACATTTGGAACAGTATGTGTCTACTTACTTATTTGTAACACGATTTAACAAATAGATGTTTTTTTTTTTTTTTTTACAACAGCTACGTCTCAGAAACTAGGCGTTCGGGGAGATATATTTGCGAAGATTTTCTCACTCATTTATTTTTATATAAAAATATGTATCCTGTGAATTTGCCAATGGAGTTCAGATAGAATTTCTATACTGTAAACATAACTTTAATAATTTCTTCTAATGTGAATTGAGTTACTTTTTCAGTTCACTGTCGACTGGCTTGAACTCCATGGCGGCTGTGGTGTTGGAGGATTTCGTAAAGCCCTTCATCAAGACGCCGCTCACGCCCAGGGCAGCTGACATCTTTTTGAAGCTCACAGTCGTCGTATTAGGGGCGACCTGCGTTGCTCTCGTTTTCCTCGTCGAGAAGACTGGCACTCACGTGTTGCAGGTAGACGCGATTGTACTTTCGGAAAGATGTGTGATGATCTCTCTTCTCATATTGAATAAATATCGCAGTTGTCAATGAGCCTGTCCGCCATCACCAGCGGGCCAACTCTCGCCATATTCACCATGGGTGTGCTATTACCATGGATCAACGCGAGGGTATGTGCAACTCGACACATAACGAGAAAATTGCATCGAATTATTCTCTAATCTTATTTAATTTTATTAAACTCGCGACAGGGCGCTCTGGTCGGGGGACTCGCGGGTTTAAGCTTCATGGGCTGGCTTGGCCTTTCCGCCGGTACGGCCATCGCCACTGGAAGGATCAAGTTAGTTTTCAAAGTCGTAAAAATTACTCTTCTCTTTAAGCAGTTCTGAATTTACGTTCTGTAAACTACGTTACCGTCGCCCGATTAATTTTTCCCGAAGCACGTGTTCTAATGCATTTACGATGCAGATTCGAGGAAAAACCCGTTACTACAGAAGGATGCACTTACTCGTTTCCCCAAGTCGAGAATTTGCTATTATTTGTGCCACCGGATTCGATCTTGGAGGACGCCAGTGTAGAGTGAGTTGAAATATATCATCGGCTTTAGTGTCGATTGTTTCCAATCAGTCCAAACGTTAACGATACAAGTAACTGTTGATTCATAACTTATTAGATTATAAAATCATCCCTCCTATTATAATAGGGAGCCATTAGCGGTGTTTCGTCTCAGTTATATCTGGTACACTATGATCGGTGCCCTCCTGACTATAAGCATCAGTTTCCTCGCGACTCTGATTACCTCGCAAGATGTTGAAAAGTTAGATCCGATGCTCCTAGCACCGTTCATTAGGAAATACTTCAAGAGCTCGAGCAGAAACATGGCGACTGAGAAGCATCAAATCGAGGTAAAAAAAACTGACATTACTTTCCGTCTTATTGCAAGGAAAAAATCACGTTTTACTGTAACATCACGTCAGAATATTGTGGCTTATTAATATTAGAATTTAGACGCTGGTAACACAATTTCTTACATATAATCGATTGTTTGTACATAGATTACAAAATCAGATCTAAAGATGGCATCTCTTGCAAACAACGAGGGCGATAAATTATTGCAAATAACTGCGACATGATGCAGTATAACTCTCGTGAATGTCAAGATTTTTTAAAGAAAAAGTATAATTTTGTAACGCGCGTGCACTGATTCGTGTATTGCAGTTGTAAATTATTCGCGAGAACCATGTACAAAATTTATATTTGTAATAAAAGTGTATATTAGTAGTACTTTGTACACATTTGTAAAAATTGTTATAGGCTGTTGTATTATTTTTACTTAAATAAAAGCTTTATAACAAAGGATATAGATATTTAATATTAAGAAATGATTCATATAAATTTTTCAAGAAAGGAAAAAAATATATACATGTGCTTTTCTTCCCAAGTCAAAATGTACGAAATATAATAAGAAATTTCAATATGATTATGTGATGTGAGAACAAAGATATTTTTAAAAAATTAACTTATATATATAAAACTGTATAAAAAAAGAGATAAGAAAAAGAAATCTGTTTGTGAATTTTTTATTGCGAAATCGATAAAATTCTGCAATACTAAAGTTTCAGTACTTTATCACAGAGCGCTGTTTTTAAAGATAACAACTAGTTTTTTAAGTTTTTACGAGATATTCCAATTGTGACTCCAAAGACATCTCAAAGACTTTGCAAAATCGTTCTTCCAGACAATTTCACGCAACGTTTCTGGTATTTTTAGCGGTCGCCCTTCGAGATATCCAGAGTAATTTTCGAGATACCTCCTCCCGAAAATAAATCGATCAGGTAAACCGAGTAATCGGACGCAGAGTCCGCATAGCAACCGATATGCTATTAATACAACTGGAATGAAGCGAAGCATTCTTATCGTCGTCATTGTAGATAAAGGAGAAAAAGCGACTTATACGCACCGTAACGGTTCCTCGCGCGCCGTCGGGTTTGTCTCGAATTGTTTGCAGGTGCCGTTCGTTATCGAAAGTCCGGTATGTGCAGAAGTGTTGAGCAATTTATCGCGAAATATCTCTCATTCTCGGGAGAACAAATAAATGTTAAACCGGTCGAGAAACGGTGGCTGTCCTAACCTTGCCGAACGTTCCATCGGGACCTGCTCGTAATGCGCATGCGCTCGGAAAGCGCTGCGCCGGCGATACCATCGTGGCGGTACCGTGCATCATTCGGCGCGACGTTTGCTGAAAGCACGGTCGACGAGTTTGCTCGGGGTCTGTCGAGAGCGAACGAGTTACAACAGGAAAAAACGCACAGGTACCGAAGATCAACGTGACCATGTCTTCTCCACCTACGAAATTACAGCTGGACGCGACGGCCGTAGAAAACTTCTGCGAGTACCTGCAGATACCGTCGATGCAGCCGGACATTAATTACGGTGAGGCGAAAGTCCGCGAAATTTCACTAGATTCTATTTTCGGACTTTTACTGCAGCGCGTAGAAGAACACATGCGTGAAGAAACGGATCGCGCGTGAAATATAGATCACAATTTGCGCGCGCGCGACGCGAATTGTTTCGTTTTATTTTATAATTTTTTATTTTTGATTTATCTTGGAGATTATTTTTGTCGCGGAACTTTTTGTATTATTGTACAGACCCGCAATCGCTCGGTGTACGCGCGAGTTTACAAGCTTAGATGAACGAGCGAGTTTGAAACACTAATATTGAGACAAAGTATAAGGATTCATCCGATACATATACGATGTTCAAAATGGTTTGAACAAATGGTCTTTTATGCAATTTGGGAACGCGCAACCAACGGTTGAACAAAGAATTTGCTTTTCGAAAACGAATCATTTCATCGGACCATTGTATGAAGTAAAGGCGTTTTTTTTTGCTGTTCACTTACAACTGCGTAGTGATAGTGGCTGTTACTTATCGCTAATTGATCTCGGAGTGTTTAAAAAAACCACTCAATATTTATATGGTAGATAGTACATACTAAACTGAGTAAAAAAAAAAAAACATTAGTAGGCCGGAAATTCAACCTTTTTGAGATATGAATATTTTAGCATCATGATTGACTGTATCAGAATAATGCAAACCGTCTTGGAACTTCGTACGTGTTTCGACGTGTGAAAATATATAGTTGAGTTATTAAGCCGATGATACGCTCAATTTTTATTGGGATAAACATCTCGATACGCGATTGTGAGAAAGAAAGCGGATCGCGCGGAAGAGAAGTAAAATCGCTGCGGTTGTTCGCGCACGAATCGCGCTCAACGACGCGTTTCCGCGTTAATTGAGAAGATTGCCCGGCTCATTGAGCATCGTCGAATATCCGCGAACAGCTCGATAACGAGGCGCCTAAGACGAGACTCCGTTGGGAAAAATACAGCTGCAGAGTTACTCAAAACGGTCCTGTAATTAACTTTACGTATCTCTGGCTTGTGAACATTATCTTTGTTTGTCATCTCGTTATCTGATAACAGAAATATCATTGATATGAAAGCATTCTTCTATTCAGATCTGTATTTGATTTAGTTGGATGCTCCAAATTAATGAAGTTTTTTGCTGTTCGCCTACAATATATATTGATAAACTATTACTTGTGCTAGCTATATGGTAGATAGATAGTACATACTGATAGGTAATACTATACTGAGTAAAGAAACTTTGGTGGAATTTTCGACTCGTTCAATCGTCGAATTCACGCACATTTATTTCTCGCATTTTCGTTTCAGATGACTGCGTGGCGTTTTTACAGAAGCAGGCCAAGTCCCTCGACTTACCGATCAAGATTTATCATGTACATCCCAAAAAACCTATCGTGGTTCTCACGTGGGTAGGAACGGACCCAACAAAGCCGTCGATTCTGTTGAACAGTCACATGGATGTTGTGCCAGTTTTCGAAGTGAGTGCGCATTCTTCTCATCAAGGACACCGCGATCGTATGGAACGTGTCGGGGGGCAATTGATTAATTGATGCAAGAAATGGGCCGCAGAATATACTTTCTTATATCCTTTCTTACGACTTGTAAACTTTGGATAAATTGCGGAAAATACTTGCTTAATCGCTTCGGTGACCGAATTGACATTTTGCCCGGAGAGATCTAACGGAGGCAGTACTTTTCGCAACGCAATTTCTACAATAGGAATTAAAATAGAAGTCGCGTTAACGGGGTTTGACTATCTAAAAATGTTAACCCGGAAGTAAATTGAGCGGTTTAACGTGAAAGGCTGATTCTCCGCGCACCGAAAGAAGATATGTTTAGTACACGATTAAACGTGTATCTTCTCACAATAATATTGATATTAATTATATTCAAATAACACTAGGATATCCGTGCTTTGGTTCTTAGTGGCCGGAAATCAGAGCCGGTATCATTTAATGTTTTTTTTCTTTTTGACATAGGAATGCTGGACCTATCCGCCGTTCAGCGCTCACATAGACGAGAAGGGCAACATTTACGCTCGCGGCAGCCAGGATATGAAGTGCGTGGGTACCCAATACCTCGAAGCAATTCGCAGACTGAAGCTGAGCGGGCAACGCTTCTCGCGAACCATCCACATATCTTTCGTGCCGGACGAGGAGATTGGCGGTCTTCTCGGTATGAAAGATTTCGTGCACACCGAGGACTTCAAGTCCCTGAACGTCGGCTTCGCCTTGGACGAGGGAGTGGCTTGTCCGCAGGAACACTTCTACATGTTCTACGGCGAGAGATCGATCTGGCACGTGGAGGTACACTGCGCCGGCAACACTGGCCACGGCTCGATCATGTTGGACAACACGGCCGCGGAGAAATTGACGACCATCATCAATCGCTTCAATGAGCTTAGGTTGACCGAGAAGGCGAAGCTAGCGGACCCCACGAAATACAAGCTCGGCGACGTGACGTCCGTGAATCTCACGAAAATCAGTGTGAGTGAATCTACAACGCTAATTGTAGAGCGGTCGATCGATATGATAAGAACAAATTATGATCGGTAAAACTTCACAAATAGCATTCTTGTTTACGTACAACAATGTTGTATGTAAACATACAATCCGTAAGGAAGGGGTGGTTTTAAACAGCTGTTCTCGGTTTACATGTCTGTCCCATTGAGAGTTACGCAGTAAGTATCTCTTCATCGCCACCGTTTCTCTGATAGTACGTTGAACCGGTTTATCATCTTCCACTTCCCACTTATTCCCTGTGTTGCAATCATGTCCCGATATTCCATGTTTTTCTCGACTTTCAATCTTTATCGGTTGACTTTTCATTCGTACATTTGTCAATGTCGCAGTTTTCTAACTCGCTGAATGCTTCTCTTTCAGGGTGGTGTACAGACCAACGTGATACCCAAGGAGATCACGGCTATGTTCGACATTCGTATAGCGACCACTGTCGATCACGAAGAATTCGAGGCTACCATTAAACGCTGGTGCGAGGAGGCCGGACCGGATGTAACGTACACCTTCGAAGAGAAAAATCCCAAAGTCGAGAACACGAAGCTCGACGATTCCAATCCTTTCTGGATCGCCTTTAAAAAGAGCTGCGACGAACAGGGTGTCGAACTAGAGATCGGTATCTTCCCGGGAGGCACAGACAGTCGCTACGTGCGCTCGGTGAGTGAAAATCGGACTGCTTTTTGTATTAAAACTTGATATTCGACATTTAAACGATGGCTTGCAAATACGTTCAACACACATTCTACGTGTCACTTTCATTTCATTTTTATTCGGCAGGTGGGCATTCCAGCTATATGCTTCTCGCCGATGAATAAAACCGAGATTCTTCTTCATAATCATGACGAATATCTCAACAAGGATATTTTCCTGAATGGAATAGAGATATATACCAAATTAATACCGGCTGTCGCGAATGTTTAAGAGCATATGTATTAATACTCCAATATTCCGAAAGTGTTAGTTAGTCCGACAGCTAGTTACAGAGAAAAAAAGAGAGATCATCAGTGGTATATCAGTGATATACGCTTGAAGTTGCTGAAAAACTGATAATTATATGCACATATGCGTTATAGCGCGTCATGTTAAAACGTCTATTGCATTTATATACCAATGTTATGCAATTTATGATTTTATCACTGTTAAAAATTAATATTTTGGAATTCGTTGTTATCTTGAAATGAAATTATATTCTCGAAGGAGATAATATGAAAAAGCACGCACAGTCAGCTGTCTAGGTCATAATTCGAGCGAAGAATGTCGTACAAGGGATGAAAGAAATGTACGGATTCCTCACGTTGTCGTATGCTAAATATAAATCGAAGCGTCTCACGCGGTTCTAAAATAATGTAAAGTTTGAAATGGTAACAAGAATACAAATATAATATTACTAAGAAATTATGTGCACTATCTATTATATTATAGTAAGTTTTATATTCAAAATGTCCGCCGATTTATTTATGTGCTTTCGAAATATGCACAAAAGGATTTATGTGCCCCCTTAGATAGATAATCCGTATTTTTAGACAACCTATATTTTTACCTATCAAAAGGGAAGAACACAAAAATCTTATTGCGTGACGTGTCCGTTAATTTCCAGAGGGGAGTAAATTGAAAAACTAGTACAATAAATTCTAAGTAAGAGCGTTACGACTCAGAATTACAAAATTGTCTTGCGAATCATTATAAAGAACCTGATAGAACTTCCAGTCGGTCGTATTAGACAAATGAAATCATTTGATAACTATGCAGCAGACTCAACGAAAGATACCGCATATTTACAGACAGAAGCTAATAAAAGAGAATAGTTACACGTAAGACAAATAGTATAATTATAATAATGATATAATAATATAGAAATAATATATGATTTCGTAAATCAAAACCGACTTAAGCTGCTCACTGGATCTCAACTTTTGCAAATTAAATCACACGGATAAAATCTAAGATGCGATAACATTTTGCTATCTGTGACCAATTTAATGGCGCACCAGTTGGCCTACCTCTCTCTCACACATATGCATGTGGTGCGCACGCAGATTATACACATGCATATGAGACCTACAGTTAAACCCTTTGCACTCGAGGGCTCCGGAGCGGAGCCATTTAAAATTTGTCTTCAAACTCGAGGGCTTCGCTATGGAGACAACGCAAATAACTTTCAGTTCGTAACATAAGGACAAAGACAAATCGTAAAAACTCTTGTGTATAGGATATTCCGCTCTTACTATTTGCATTTGAGTTTGAAGAGTTTGAAGACAAATTTTAAATGGCTCCGCTCCGGAGCCCTCGAGTGCGTTAAATGCCGGTTCCGAACAGCAAAATCTTGGAGAGAGGTTTTTTTGACACGAATATTCTTGGGGTTTGCCCGAAGAGGAGGAGCGTATGAAAAATTTTCTGGCTCTGCCGGGACCTCAAAAGCATAGTAGACCGGTGTCATCTGTGACTTATACATAAAATTGCTTTCAGGTGCAGATTCAAACTTAAATATAATTGCGTTTAATTCTGATATACTGTCTTATATTAATCAATCAATAACGTTCTGTATATCTATGCTATCCAGTACAGTTGAACTGCCAGAATCGTGAGTGATCTCTACTCTTATTTCACTATCCTTCAATAATTGTATTACTTCGATCCTACTTCATTCCTACAATACACACCTTAAACACCTGTTAAAAGATAACAAAGACCCGTCATTCGACACGGGCGAGTCTTAGTCGAACATTCATGTGTTGTCCCGACTGTGTACAATTTGAGGAGAGACCATAGAACAACTAAGCGCGATCATTATGAAGGATAAAACTTTGAAATGCGAAGCTTGCAACGAGGATCCGGACGAAAGGGCTGTGAGAATCTTATGCGAGTATCTGCGGATACCGTCGGTGCATCCGAACGCTAAATATGGTAAGCGAACACACTGGTGCCTCCAGTAGATTCCATTTAATTATTAGTATCACGAGTCTAATATGTTATTGATTTATATTCATTGGCGAATACTGTAGTAATAAAAGCCCATTTACAATTTCAAGCCAGTTTTTACACTTCGGATAGAACAGTATCTAAAGATTATTAGCATAAATTGTCTTAAAATCGGATCAAATTTAGATCATGAAACACACGCCGTACATTAGTGGCTATATATCAAATAACAGATGTTCAGTGCGTTACATAACGCAGAAATTGAATGTAGCCCGATCAATTGTGAGCGACACAGGTGTGTCTGGAAACTCTTGGCGGGTGGTATATATTTTTAAAGATATTTTAAAAGATTCTAAAAAGGAAGAAAATTCACTCCGCGAGGCTAAGTTTCTACAATCGACACAAGCTTCTAAAAGACAGTTCGTCTTACTTTTTCAGGCGTCTTTTTGAATACCTTGGAAACATTCCGCCATTATACGGCACATTAAATTACGGTCGCGTAACAATCGTATTCAGCAGCTCCTTCGATTGTTTTAGAAGAATGCGTCGCGTATTATATTAACGATGGCCGAGACCTTGAACTTGCCAGTTAAAGTGTACTATCTTCACCCTGACAAGCCGGTGGTAATTGTCACATGGGCAGGAATGGAGCCGGGCGATTCTCTTGAACAGTCACATGGACGTTGTCTCGGTCGAAGCGGTAACGCACTTTTTATTTGCTTGAGAATCCTGCGAGGGCTTGCGTCACGCCACATTAGCCGGTTAAATGATTGATTGATCCAGCACAAATGGACGTTTCCGCCGTTCAGCGCGCACATGGACGAATATTTACGCACGCGGCGCCCAGGACACGAAGGCCGTGGGAATAAAATACGTGGAAGCGATTCACAGACTCAAGCCGAACGGTCGGCGTCTCTCGCGCACCGTGCACGTTTCCTTCGTGCCGGACGAGGAGACCGGCGGAGTACTCGGGATGAAGGAATTCGTGCAGACCGCGTACTTCAAGTCGCTAAACGTCGGCTTCGCGTTGCACAAGGGCTCCCCGATTTAGCCTTCGACGTGCTCTACATTGGCAGGACTAAGTGGAACGTAAATATAACTTGCGAAGGCGGCTCGACTGCGCTGGGCAACACGGCCGCGGAAAAAATGCGGATCGTGTTCGATCGTTTCCTGGGCTTCGGAGAGAAGGAGGGAGCAAAGGATTCCAGCGACATGGTGTCTATCAATCTCACGGGACTTGGTGTAAATAATATCGTGCTTCTATATGTAAAATGTTGCCGGCAGAATACGGCAAGACTTGACACAACCGAACAGGAGGATCTGTCGCTTCATTTAAGTGGTACATATATAGATTCCGTTCGGTTTCCAATCTGTCTTCATACTCTGCTAGCAGATTCTGTTGTACTTTTATTAACAAACTGCCGAAAAAATTAAAAGCAAAAACACTGCTTGTGTGTGCGAATCCAGACAGCATAAACTTCTAAAAGACGTGACTAAAGAGAGAAAAAGTAGGAACGTCTTTCGGAAGCTTGGGCTAATAAGAGCGGCTTTTACTGCTCGAGAAGTACAAAAAAAACTATCGAACCATTGCACGTAGAAACCATAAAGAAGGCGCAGTTCAACAAATCTCTTTCAGGGCGGTGATGGGGACAACGTTATACCGAGAGTATTCTCTACCGATATTCGATATTCGTCTAGCGTTGATCACGAAGAGTTCGAGGCTACTATCCAGCGCTGGTGCGAGGAAGCCGGTACGGACCTAACTTACAAATTCAATCAGAAGAATCCTAAGATCGAGGGCACCAAAGTTGACGATACCAATCCGTTCTGGGTGGCCTTCAAGAAAACTGCCAATGACCTCGATACAAAGCTCCAAATGATTGTTAACCCCGCGGCCTCGGATGCTCGCTATTTACGCCAGGTGAGCTGCCTTTCTTGCGCATATTGCGCATTTAATTTCTTAAATATCTCGATGAATTTCACTTCACGCTGCGTGGTTGTTCAATATATTTCAGTAGTAATAATCAAATATATATGCAATAAACACAGACTACTGTCTAAACCGAACATAATACGCTTTTTAAACTGGAAAAATCAACTTAATACTGGCACGTTGCCTTCATTGATTTCAAAGACCCGCCAATAAGCATACCGCATTCGCTTTTATAGTGAAATTTGAAATTGTTTTGCTTCGCAGATGAGCATACCCGTTTTAGGCTTTTCGCCGATAAACAAGACAGAAGTCACAGGTATTCACAGTGATAACGAGTATTTGAACAAAAGGATATTTTTAAAACGAATAGATATATACATTGAAATAATACAGGCTGTCGCAAATGTTTGAACATGAACTTTCTCGATACCGTAATCAGTCGTTTCTTTTTTTGTGGAGTATTTTCCGCAGACTCGTTAAAAAATGTTTCATATATAATCATGTATAGAACATGTCCCCATATATAAAAATATATATTTATATATGAAAATATACACAAATATATATATATATATTTGTGTACGAAGAGAAAATGAAATAACTTCCTTTCGATTTCCGAAGAATAGTAAAACCCAAACAGCACGTAAACGTTCGCTTTACGTTCACTTGGTTTGGTTATATTCAAACAAAGTGGGAACGTTCGAAGAACATACGTTTTAGAACCTTTGATATATATCTTACATAGCAAAAGTGTCGCACAATTATGCTGCTCTATTATAATTCCATTTTTTAATTAAAATATATACATCTTAAAGTTTGATTATGTCCATTTATAATAAATTATAAAAAAATATATTAATTGCTAAAAAATATTAATAAATTAATATCTTCATCTTCAAGATGTATATACTATAAATCTTCAAGTTCTTTAATAATATAAGTAGTACTGTGTTTCCACTACGTCTCCTGATGTCGTTCAAATTCAGCGCCCAACAACATGGCTGACAGTCACGTAAACAATGACCACAAAGAAGCAGACAGCTATTGTCGCAACTGTATGTAGTTGAACTGTGTCACGGCTGCCTGGGCAACGTAGAACTCGGACCTTAAGCCCCCGTATCGGATTGGGGATTGAGATTCCCAAAGATCCCCTAAGGCAAAATCACTACGATTTATCGTTTAATAAAGTTGCGTTCGGGAATCAACATTGTGTGCACACCACTAGACACTAGTTGTATTCGGAAACATCGCGAACTCTTTGATATGCTTTTGTGACTTCAGGCTCTGAAGCCGTGGTGGTTGTAAGCAGTAGGTAAAAGCAGAAACTGTCGACTACCAGCGCGAGTTCTAATTGGCTGTTGCTTTTCTGCTTCCTGCTTTTCCGTCAAGATGTGAATTCTCCCTCAGTGGTTGTTTACGAAGAAGCGTTCGGGGGTTAGTTTCAAGTTAAAACTATGAATGTTTCTCTATAATCTTGGTATTTCATGTTGTGCCCTGTTCTGTCTAACAACAAATCCTTTTCGGATTTATACAAAAAGAATGTGAT